CTACGTAGAGCTAAAAAAACAGGAGACAACTATAAACATAAGCACAGGAGTAGTAGTGGCCCCTTCCACACTAACTGCCGCTCTACTTCTGGGACCCAGTGATCAGACCTCACCAAGCTTCAAACTATTGCTATTGCAACAACGTCTTTCCAGAGACACACTGAGGGACACACCTGGCAGGGGTCTCAAAGTGTGCCGTCGTTGTACAAAGTGCAGTCTATGTCGCCAGTTCACATTTGGCGTGATGGACAACACGGACTCACCAAGTGAAGCTGCGCTACCAGGAGGAATATAAAGATGGCACACTTTATTATCATACACATTGTATTAACTGCCTTAATGGGAAGCGCATATAAGGTATGCAAAGAGGGCCTTATCTCATTGATTTGGAGTATGAAGAAGGAACAACTTATCTAGAAGTCCAGATGATACTAATGAGCTAAAGTTCATTTGTAATTCACTTGCAAAACAAAACAAGGATTCTTTATAGCAATAACTGAGATATTAGCATGGCAATCAAATGATAAATTAAACGACAGCGATCAAGGTGCAACTTACAGTAAGTACAATAAATATCAATCGTACACTAGATTACAAATACACTCAGGCCAGAGAGGTCAGAGGTCAGGATAGACTAGGATAAGTAATGGGAAGGGAAACCCCAAAGGACTGTGCATCTGCAGGTGTATGCGCCCAGCCAGACAGGTGATCTCATGGATGACCAGAGAGCGCCTGTACTCTCAAATCTATGAAGCAGCCTTTGAAGCATTAACGCAAACAAATCCCCTCATCGAGCATTCAAATTATTAACGTGTGCGTGTCCTCTTTCCCAAAGGCCGCGGGAAGCCGCAGTGAGGGCTCCCCGGTGGATCAGCAATGGCCGCGTTATTAGACCCACGCTACTGTACATGCCAGTAGATGGAAACTTGGAAACGTGCGCTGCAGGGATTGTGGCTCCTGGCACGAAGCATCGACTGCAGCACGGGGTGATGGTACTTTAAAAGGTGTGGGGGGGTGTTCCAGTCTAGATGGGTACCGGGTCAGCTGGGTCAGGTGCACGCGCCGTTAAGACTAGTAGAACGCCGCCAAAGAAAGGTTCACGCCAGGACAAACTGAACCAAGGATGCGTTTGCGTGGGGGAACCCCTCCCTCCTCCCCTGTGCTGTATGTGCAGATGGAACGCTAGCTAGCTGGAGGGGGTGACAGCAGGCTCGCTTTATTGACAAAGTCATTCTAAATTTTTCTGAAGACTGCTTGAGAAAAGTCTCAGTCCCCCCCGGGGTTTCCTTGGCCCCTGGAGGGGCACTCGCTCTTTTCGCAGTCTTAGCTAGCAACTTTCCTGTCCTGCTAACCTACAGCGTTTAACCGTTAGCGGGTCGGCCCTCGCTTTTGGTGACGAACATTTCTGCCAGGCACGAAACGAAGTGAGGAATTGTCTCTACGTACCCTCGGACCGGGTGCGAAGATCCGACATCGTCCTCCGGACGGGCGGCATCTCTGCAAACAGAGAGCCGGGGCGACGGCACCTATCAGGCGGTTGCCGGTAGTTCTGCTCCCTGTGGCCGCTGCTGCTTCTTCTTCTTCTCCTTTCTCTCAAACGTCAAAGAATTATGAGGGGGGTAAAACGGCTGAAATTCAGAAGCAACCTCCCCGGTGTGAACACTACTGCTGCGTGTTTACCGTCAGAGGGAAATACAGACGAGTTAGAACATTCATTGCCTGGGTGGTGCCAGAACCATGTCCAGGAGCCCCCGGCTTCACGGATCCCCCAGCATCCCAGTTCACACGTCGGATTATAAAGCCGATAGACGTCTTCGGTGTAGCAGGAGTGGACATGGATTTGCTAGAAAACTGACGTGAGGGGGACGGTGCCGTTTCCCATTATGGACTATACCACATTCACCCGAAGGAGGAGGGGTGTGCGTGGACATAATAATTCGGATTTCACTGCGGCTGGGTAATATATGTCGTGGAAAATGATCTTCTACGAGGAAATAACGAAAGACAAAGTGCTGGATAGTAAATAGAGGCGGTGTAAATAATGTTTACGACAAGGATATGGATTTAAAATTGGCTCAGAAATGGCTCGTTGGCGTGAATGCCCCCCCACCCCTCTCTGCGGTAGATGTTGTTCAGAACTTGAGGACATAACAATAGTACACTGGGTATCACAAATCTCACATGTTGTTGTTTGAAATATATTTATTTATGTCTTAATAGTAATTGCACTGTCAGCAAATGAAAACGCACGTTAACACGATAGCAAAATTCAAATGTTTTAAATATATGGCACTAATTGCACATACAATTAGCAATACAACAAATACATTTACATTATGAAATATATTATAAGATAATTTCCATAACACACCTGAACTCCTTGAATGCTTGAATAATTTTGCTGAAGTACATTCATAACATTTTAAAACAAACATTAACACTAAACGTTAAAGACCTCAAAACCTATATTGTACCTCATAGAAACTGAAAGAAAGTAATACACATTTAAAAACATCGTCAAAGTATAAAGTACCAGCAAAATTATATGAAATAGGTCTAAGGTCCCACCTCTGAGCAGGCAGATATCATCATGGAGGATAAGAAGCACCTAGTTTAACGTCATTATTAAAGAATAAAGAGTGAGGTGAGAATATTGATATTGATCAGTAATCCTCTGTCATTTGTATGTGAGAAGTAAGGAGAATGTTTCATTAACCGTATTGGACTGCACTCGCAGTTAAGACTTGTATTCATGATGGAAACACGTAAATGTGGAAGCCTTTCTTTGAAGACTGGACCTTTTTTTCAAAAAGTATTCTGATCAGTTTCATCTATATCTAACTTCAATGGGGCCTTCGTCACTGTAGAATTCAACGTTGTTTTTTTTGCTAAACTAAAACATTGCACAGCGATTTTGCTCATAACACAAATAAATCAAATGATTCGTCCACTCCACAAACAGAGAAACCTAAAACCTAAACATATAAAATAAAATCCTGGACTGCTACAAAACACAATGATGAAATCGAGTCTTTGTGAGTAAACACCAGTATTATATCACTATTATGACTCAGCATGAGGTCTAATCTAAGGAGACACTTTACAGTTTCTCTCATCACTGTGCTCCTCTCCTTTTACAAACCCACCACGGACCCTCCGTTACCAAAATGAAGACCCATGAAAAAGGCACTACAGAATACAAATACAAAGAACTAAGCTGCAGCAACGCCGCGTCTGCTGCGTCCGCCCGGCGGCACAGTAAATCAAGAGCGTGTTCTCATTGACACTGCGGGTGAAATGCAAATCACCCTTGGAGACGGCATTTGTGCAGCAGCAGCACCACTGCAGTTGCCTCAGAGAACTGCAGTGTTAAAGACACACTGGTTGTTTCATGTGTGCAATTCACTGGCAGTGTTTTTATAATGCTAAGTGTCCTCCTTATAGTTCTTTCACTTTAGTTATCGCTGCCAAACGTCTAACATATTTGCATTCAATATGTAGCTTTGTTGGGAGGGATGTAGGCGACATTGATCCATATCCACTTTTTCATTTAAATATATTTCCAGTTGTGGGGATTATAAAGAAATGAGATTTTGCTTTGTGTATGAGCAGTGCATATGGTGCATAGTACATCTGAGTTTACATCTCTTTAAACAATGTGATCTAATGGCTTAAGATTTAGGTATCTCCTAAATTATAATACAAATATATATTTTTTTGTAAAATTCCACATTCAGTCCTATTCTCAAAATCCTCAAAAAATACACAGAGGGATTGTGTTACATAGGAACTCGGGATTCACCACATCCAAAAATAAGAAATGAACACCTTAACACGGACGCCTCCTCCTGTGCCTGCTAGAGAGTCATCTCTCACATACATATTTCCTTTCTTTCTACCGATGCACCTAATTCAACATCAGCTTGCCACCAGGGGATTTGGCTGGTGCGGCTCCCACGGTTGCTAAGCAACAGTGACAAGGAGCCTGCCTCTTCGATTATGTGTCTCTGTGTGTTCTGGTTTTGTGTTTTACAGCAGACCCGGTCCAAACAATGACTTGTTCAACCAAGCGCAACAATTGTCATTCACAAACATTTTTATCAGTTTATTTGTATTTCTTTTTTTGGAGTGACCCGAAAAACGTTTCACTGATGCCGCCAATACCCTGTTCTTTGTTATGCTATTGCAGGGTAAATATACACGGAGGCAGGCTGGGATTTAAATACAAATAAAAGATCTCGCCCAAAACCACATAATACAAATCCTTTTGATTTCATATTTGTCCAAAGCTCTAAATAGCTCTCTGAAATAAATGACTGTATCAGTCCCAGAAAGGTAGATGTATCTTTAGGTAACAAAATATTTGAATTCTCAGTTTTCTTCTCGCAATTCTCTATTTTCATGTTTAAATAAATAATTGTATACTCTTTGATTTACTTCCTGTTACTGTTACTGGATAACTTTTTTGTGAGATATCTAAAAAAAAAACGACTGGTCGGATTGACATGAAACTCGTCAATTGGGCAAATGTACAGTACAGTTCGGTGAAGCAAAGTCTGCCTCATAACTTCAATCAGTCAAAAGCCTGAAAAAACAAAAATGAGCCGGATCCTTGATGCCTTTCTTAGCTGTAAACAGGCTCATACACGGGCCTTCGATGCCTCACGGTAACCTTCTCTTCATGGTGAGTTTGCAGTGTCCTTCAGAGACACGTCTGGCTGAATAAAAAAGGAGAGGATGTTTGTAACCCCCTGCGTCTGCAGGAAAATACTTTGAGCCACTTTGCAGTTGTTAGAGGAAATACTAAGCAAAGAGGTACTGCAGCTTAAATCTTGCACCAGTTTACAGGATCCCATCCCAGATTATTTCAGCTGTTTCCCTTCGGGATATCCAACCCGTACTGGAAACGGCTAATGTTGAACCTTTCCTGAATGTAACCTTTTAGATTGAATTCAAGCAAAAAAAAAAATGGCATGAGACCATTTTTCCTTTTTGTGGTTTTAGAAAAAGTCAACAATGGCAAAAAAACACAAACGTGTTCATGGCTGAACACAACGCTTTGAGTCTCCATCTCATCGGGTGACATCAATCCTGCTACCTTCTCACTTGGTTTCCAGAAGTGTGTTATTGATTTTGTCAATAATCATTTCTCCTTCTCTCAAGACTGATCAAACCGAGCACCGGGATGCAGCCATCAGACCCGAAGCGGCATCCTTCATTTCTCTGCCTACAGCTCTCGAGGGAGCGATTGGGCAGCTCGACATTTTGCTGTGATTGAATTGCACTCTGCCCCCTTGTGGAGGCTGATCCTCAGTCAGGGGCGGTGAGGTGGTTGGATGGCCACAGACACACAAATGGCGAGTCTCTGCAGAGTCATTTTCCCTAAAGCTCTGTTCACGATTAACGTGTGTGGACCGTGTCAAACCTGCACAGCGGCACATTTAACGATCCATAAGAGGCAAAGAGTTGCATTAAATACAGTTCTCTCCAGATGTGTAAATTAATCTGATTCTGTTCTATTACAGCAACTCAACAAGAATGTACTGAAAATCACTCCTATTGTGAAGTTAACATGAAAAACATGCTGGGGATCTATGAATACATCTTTTTATTCAATCTGCAAAAAATTAAAACCATTTATCACTCTGCATCGCGTTCGACTTCCTCCACTCAGTCGCGGCCGAGCCGACTGAAAGCAGTGAAATTAAAGAGCGTTAAAGTATTAATATTTTCAAATTGCTTTTTTAATAGGAGTGGAGGTGGCTGGCGAGGCTGCATTAGTGCTACTGATGAGGAGGGCCGAGGGAAAAGCTCTTCAGGTTGGATGGACTATCTCCATCTTAGTGGTCGCCCGTCTAAATGTGCTAAAATGAGATAAAATGTCTGCTTGGCTCGACATGGCGTACTGTAACGTCTTATCCTGGAGTCAAACAGCCGGAGAGGTTTGTATGATTGAGAAACTTCTCCATGATATAAAAATGAACTAATTAAAATTAATTTTAAGAACACTGTGTCATGTAAGCAGCTTTACGAAACTGAGCGCCAAGACTACAGCACATAAAATAATACAAAAGTTAAAAAAAATTAAATTCTCTATAACACTAAATATTTTTGCCTGAAGAAGCAACGAAGATGGTAAATGTTACAATGATATATGTTATATATTTTCATCCTGGGCTGTGGGTGAGTGTGTTTGTGTGTGCGTTTGATCCCCCACAACGATGCACATACACACATTACACATTGCGGTTTCACACTAATCCCCTTATCGCCGGACAAGAAAAACAGAAATACACCAGCAATGCAGCACAGAAGAAGAATGCTATCAAGAAAGCATCTAAAAAAAGTCCAGGGTCAAACAGTTAAAAATGCTTAGTTTTAGAGATATTTTTTGAGGAAGTAAATGCAGTCAACATCTTTAGACAATACACCCGCAATGCTTTCTGGGAAGTAACAGGTACAGTAAACGGAAACGTTGGTTGTTTACACAGAAAATCTCATAGAAACTCCATTGACAACTCTTAGATTTACCGCACAACACAAGCACACACAACACATTATGGTGCAGTTTGAGTCCAGTCTAACTAAACCCCTCATAGACGCGCACGACATCACCTTTCACCAGCAAAGCCTCACAGACCTCGGACCAGCGAGACGAGTCGAGTCGAAACAGCACAGTTCAATTTCACGTGGAATAACCACAGAATCACGAGGAATCGTTCACAGCAAGAAGATCATGAAGAAGTTTAGGTTTCCAAACTGAAGTTAGGAGCCCTATCATCAATTTTAAGAGAAGAAAAGGCAGAGATTTAGAAAAGTAGAAGTGATTAAACCGTCACCTGCTCCTCAGGTGGTAATTTCAAAGTGAAACGGGATCCAGCATCTCAGCAGCAATAATATACAACACACCGCTACAGGGCTTTATATTGATTACACTTTCCTGGATGGATTTCTAATGATCAGCACAATGTGAACACTGCAAACAGCTGAAGCGTCACATCCCCGCTGGGAGCCGCTTCATCACCTGCGACACAAAGAAAACTGCCCGAGGCGTCTCTGTGGACAGGCTGGCGTGTTGTGTCCCTGAGACATGACCCATGTGCATGACCCTTAACGTCATGTAACGTAATGTCTTTAAAAGATGTCACAGGATGTTATTTTATCACATTCTTTTACATAGACGATAACAACAATGTTCGGTAAACTAAACTACACCGTAATTAAGATTTAAGTGAAGCTAACCTGGTTAGCTAACATGCTAATTAGTTTAATTAGCATCTTGTGTTAGCATGGTGTTCTTTTGTTTGTGCTGAGTGAATACAGGTAATTTAACTTACACGTGACTTAACTTACAAGTAACAACAACTTACTGCTGATTGTTTGTGGACCAAGGTGTTTGCTGAATAAGTGTGTTGTTTTCAGCAATCTGGCTCTTTATGCATGAAATTACTTATTAACATATAGTGCACTGATAATAACAATAATGTTGTTGTGGATCATGTAACTCATTTAGAGGCAATTGTCGCCTGCTATCTCGTCCTGAGAGGCAGAACTGTATGTTTGCTTGATTAAAGAACACAAAGTCAGACCATGAAAAGTCTTCAGTCAAAGCTTTGCTGAAAACTGTGTAAACTGTCATGAATAATTAAAAGACAACTATCCTTTTACGTGCGATGGGCTTGCTGGGTTGCCATGGTGGAGATGCATGTATTATTTACCATCGCTGTGTGTCCCGCTGTAAGGCAGCTTACAGGCTCTCAGTCTTTTTTTGACCTGTTCTCCCTGCGAGGATTAAACCTGGTGGTAATCCATGGGGGACAAACCGGCGCATCCCAGCTGAGTGTCCACCTCCGAATGAGCAGAGAGGAGCCGCACAGCGTCGCCGTCGACCATGTAATGTGCCAGGAGGGTTCCCAATGGAGGCGACGACGCCGATGGCTGGGCAGGAGAAGCCGCAGAAGCGGGTGAGGTTCCGCGTGGCTTCGGGGAACAGCGGCCGGGTGCTGAAGGAGATGTTCAAGGACGAGGGGCCCTCGGGCTCCCTGGATTCGGATTGCACCAGCGGCTCCGACGCAGAGCGGGCCAGCACCCCCTCCACCAGCGGAGAGGCGCACCCGTACGAGTCCCCGGGCTGCGAGCCGGACGAGCTGCTGACGTACGCGGGGGCCACCAAGGACTGGATGTTCACGACGAAGAGGGTCAACATACTCAGTAAAAATGGGACCGTGAGGGGGGTCAAGCACAAAGTCAGCGCAGGTCAGACGCTGTTTGAGAACCTTCTCAGTTACAACAGTGTAAGTACTTCTGAAAAGGGCCTGGTTACATCTTATTGCTTCATTTAGTCTGGAATATCACACCAGCGGGTCCCATTGGTTCAGCCCTCCAGTCTACTTACGGGTGAGATGCGTAAGAGCTCACAAGAGAGGACAAGATGACAGCACGATTAAAGATTAATGATACATTCCAATAAGTGTTTCAGGAGAAGCCCATCAGGTTAATGAATTCCAGGTGCTTTCTAGTGTCTGCTTTCGGATTCCGATGTAACTCTTTGGCTCGTGTGCCAATGCAAAGGTGATGTCGAGGGTCATATTGAAGAAACAGGGACATGCCATTCACAATATCACCAACTACGTTTTTAAGGACGCCACCACAAATGTCTGTTTGATTACACCCCTCACGTTTTATGCAGCTGTCGCTTTATTAATTGAAATAATACAATAATTGTGTTCATCGCTGTGCAGAACAACATCTTTTTCTTTTGGCTGCAATCGCATTCGTTAACGACATAACATGTGGAAGTTGATTGTCTCTCTATGGAAAATTTATTTTGAAACTCAAAAGAAGGGACACTTATACAAGTATAGAGACATGTGGTCTGCTTTCTTGAAAGTAATGTTAATAATAAATGAATGGTTAAAACCTTTTCTAATGAGCCACTCCATATGAAGGGATTACAAATGATAACCTTCAAAGACAAGGCCTCGGGGATTAGTTTCCATATTTGGATCTCCTTTAGTGAAATCCTGGCTTCACCTTGACAGGCTGTACATCATATCAAATCACAAAGCCGCTCAGTTCTCAATGACGTGAAGCAGTTCAAGACCCCAACATTTGCCTAAATTATGACAGGGCTTAGAGAACTGAACATTAAAGTATTTTTTATGAAAATGCTTGTATTCATACTTCGAATTTTGCCTAAATAATTCAGATTTTAGTACTTTTTCACAATTGTAAAAGCTGTACCAGATATAAGAAATGATCCATTACACAAGCGCGGAAATATAATCATATAAAATCAAGCCAATATCTCAAAGACATACACAGACATTTGACATTGTTATGTTAGCAAAAGTTACCTTTATGAATAAAAAAAACAGCCAAAGAGCCGTGTCACTGCTTTAAAGATGACTTCTGATTTCTTCTCAGATGGAGTTATCTCTTGAATTTGGGCGGATAGTCATCTACACCACGAGTTTCCGGGTGGTGAGAACAACATTTGAGCGCTGCCAGCTGGTCCGAAAGATCTTCCAGAACCACAGGGTGAAGTTTGTGGAGAAGAACATCGCCCTGGACAGCGAGTACGGGAAGGAGTTGGAGGAGCGATGCAAACGCGTGGGAGAACCTCCCTCGCTACCTGTGGTGTTCATTGACGGACACTACCTCGGGGTCGGCTCCGATTCTTACTCCTGCATATTGACGTCAATATCTTGTGCGTTCACACACTCATTTCATATTGAATTGTGTTTTTCAGGGTGCCGAGAAGATACTGGGCATGAACGAATCAGGAGAGCTTCAAGACCTTCTAACCAAAATAGAGGTTGGTTTTCACTGTGTTTTCATTGACGACGAATCATTTGATGGCATTAAAACAGAGGTTTTCCTGCGAATCAGGGCAAGTCACCCCACTTGATTTGACGCAAGGTGCTTAATTGATAACGTGTTTGTCAAAGCATAAGGTAACTTCAAAAAGTCCGGACAAATCGACGCTTTGTGTTTGCCCAAAGTCACCGAGAGGAACCCTGTGCAAACAGGAGCATCATTTCCCCTCACCAGCCGTGTCCTCGGTAAAAGGAGACGCATGCACATCAATGAGCTGCCGTCGATAACGGAGGCCGTGCTATTGATTCTGCCTCCAACACGTTCGCCCAAACATGCCGGCGTTACAGCTCCTCGCTCGCTGGTACAAACCGAGATTCTGTCAAGTATTTCTGCTCGTCACTGAGCTGCAGCCGTAGCACTGGCATTTTTCTGGGGCCTATAGGTTGTAAGTTCAACCCAACAAGAGACTTCCTAAGCGAATACAGAAAACCGTATGAAGCTCATGACATTTAAGTCATGCATTCCAGTCTCTGCGGGCTATTAAAACAGAAAGAAACATGCAGCCCTGAAAGGTCAAACATTCATTAATCAGTCAAGAGCTGTTCGGCAAGCAGACTTTTTTGCTCTGAATTTACCTTTTTTTCAAAAAGGAAGTCGTGATTATCGGCATTTCACATTTTGGGGAATAGACTTAGTCGCCGACGGGGAGATGAGAACATTGATCCTCTAAAAATAACAATTAATTATATTTATGTGGTCTGATGCACTAGTCGCTTTGAAGCAATTTGCAGATAATTTGTATTTTTAGCCAAGTTGAAAATATCATTGCTGCCTGAAATTTCCAATGTGCTAAGCTGACATAGCGAGTGGTATTTATCTTCTCCTGTAAATCTAAAGTATTTCCCAAAATATCGTATCATCAGTTTTCAGTCAATAAATTATTTTGATATGATGTATCTCCAAAATGGTGGGCTTTAGGATGATAAAGAAACCAGCAGCGTTTTCCCCAAAGAATGTAGGTGTGAGTATTGAACGTTGGCCACATTATCTGAAATGTGTATCTATCCATGTATTTAGAGAGTACAGCAGCCCCAGACGTGCCAGACCTGTGGGGGCTATGCCTTCATCCCGTGCCCAATGTGCCATGGCAGCAAGATGTCCGTGTTTCGCAACTGCTTCACGGATTCCTTCAAAGCCCTCAAGTGCACTTCCTGCAACGAGAACGGCCTGCAGCCCTGTGTGAGCTGCAGCCCCTGAGGATGCTACGTGCCTGACCCGGCATCCTTTACGCAGGACCTCCAACTGGACTGTGACCCGGGCGGTGAAATGAAACACAGCCGCGCTCTTCCTCCATGGCCATGTTAGTAAGGAAAACAGAAGTTTGTGATGAAAAAAAACAGTGAATTGGGGGATCTGGGATTGTTGGTCCGGTGAACTGATTCATGAGAATAATTTGCTCATTTTTTTATGAGCTCAGTGCAAAATTCCCATTGATGGAGCCGCGAACTAGTTTCACATGAGGTCAACTTAAGCTTGTTATTCAGTAAGTGAGGAGGCTCGTTTGCAACGCTCTCATTACAAATCCCATATCTGACAGAGTTAAGGATGATGGAGGCCGAGAGCTGATAAATACAAGGGTTTGAGTTTGCATGAAACTTGACCTTTTGTCACAATAGAGCTCCAAACATCATTCAATCCTCACATTGAGGATTGTAAATGGAAGATGGGGTTTAACTGGAAGCTGTGTGTTTTTAAGAAGGACAAATACACATTTTTAACTAAAATAAATCAAGGGAGTCAACTGCATTTAAACATTTTAATAATACAATATATTTCTGGTGCTACATAAGAGCTAATATGATGATTGAAAAACAGGCAACTCTTTTGATAATCAATTTTGCAAGCAAAAATAAATCAGTTTCACCTTCTGAGCTTTTTTTCATCTCTTGACTGTGATTCTACACTAAATATCCCTTCTGGTTGGACAAGAAAAAAGGCGTTTGAAGCTGTCACATTTGGGGCAAAAGGATTTGTCAGTGAGGAATGTGGTGGTCGTTTTTCTCTGAGATGAAAGACGTCTTCGTTTGCAGCCCAAACTGAGGATACCCCCCACAACAGTTTTTGCCTCTCCTATTAAAACCCGTTATACTGCAGCTAATTAAGACTGTTTTTAATCAAGGTGCTTCAGCATCTCCGACGATTGTTAGAAACGGCTTCTTCAGAAGAGCAGCAGCAGATCCGGACGGCAGAGCGCAGATGGGTGAATCAGACGCAGCGTGCGATGTGACTAATTGGTTCAATAATGCATCGGCTGCACGGGGATTTCAATTTGCTTTGAATAATGCAACCCGGAGAGAACTCCATGTGCTCCAGTTTGTTTTTTCCTCAAGCCTAACAACAAAAGCAACGCTTTGGACCACATTGGCATGCAAAGAAAATGAAAGAAAAAAAATCAAGACAAATCACTGAAATCGGCAGCATCCCCTCTCGCGCGCCATCCTCCGCCGTTTGGAGTTCTTCGCAGATGAGGTCATTGGCTGGCTGCCGTCCAGAGGGCGAGAGAAGCTCGGCTCTCTATGCTGTCATAGCCCTGTACAATGCTGCTTGAACCTGATCAGACAAGGCAGCACTGTAAAGAGGCTAAAAGCGTAGAGCAGTGCGGCGCCGATGCGGCCGATGATCGCTGGTTCCAAACACCGCCGACCGGCTCCGTGCAGATGCTCCTGCAACCTGTGATTGAAACAGCAAACCCCCCCCCCCCCCCAAAAAAGAAGAAATCATCGATTATTTAGGAGGCAAAAATAAAAGGAAACAAACAAACAAAAGCGAGCAAGGGGGATGCATGTCTGCCTGCTTAATGGCAGACGATTACATCCCTGCACGAAATCGCATTTCATTAATTCAATTCCGCACCGAGCAGTAATGGGGTTTGGGATTTTGTAACCGCAGGCTTGTGGTGATGATGGGGAGGGGTTGGAGGGGGAGGGGGGTGCATGACAATCTGAGACCCCAACTGTGCAGGTTTACTGCGCCCCCTTCTGAGGGCTGCCGGTGCCGAAAATATGACAGGATGCGTCGAATACTACAATAATAAAAAAAAGCACAGCCACATCTGCTTTGAATCCGCTCCAGACAAAACACTAAATGACAAGCAAACGACGACCTGACGCGCGCGGAAAGGGCGCAGCAGCACCAAAGGTGTGTTTGGTGATCTCCAGACGCGACAGGCGCGTCTCGGAGGAGGTCTTTAAAAATATATTTAATAATGATGCAAATCAGCCCGAGGAGCTGCTTTCTCTGCGGGAGGCGAGACAGCAGCGGCTCCGGACGGCATGATGAGACGTATGACACCCAAAAACGTTAAGACATGACATTCAATGGTCTAAAAACCTGCAGTGGCGTCAGTCCGCATTGTCTCCGCTCTCCGGGGCTCCGTGAGGGTTTATTTCTGTCGGTGTGAAGCGGGAGTCCAGCCGCGATGCTGTGCGTAATGTTTTGAACGATCCGTCGGTGCGCAGACTGGTGGGAAATGACGGCTTTTTTTTTTATTGACGTCAGCGTACAGGTTAAAGTGCCCCCCCCCCCATCTCTCCCTTTTTCTCTCATCCATACAACTGCACCACCTAATGGACTTGGGTTTACATTCCAGTCAACCTTCTGAGCTTTAAACAGTCGAGGAGAGAAAAGGTTCCTCTTTACTGTTCCAGATGCTTACGATCCAGATGTGAGACTCACATCCACATGAAGCCACATCTGACACGCGAGACGGTAAAAGAAAAGCAACATTATTTAATAAATTATTTCAAATTTATTTCACCTCCTTCTGCACAGCAACATTGTTACAACCGGCGGGAAAATATTACACTATTGACACATTCAAAAATATATATCCAAATGCCCCCCCTCCCCCCCTCCTCTCCCTGAAGCATGTTTTAAGATGCAGGTGAGCTCAAGCTGTGGCTGACTGAACTAAATGCAGAATGAAAAGAAAACAGCGAGTAGGAGAGCGTTCACTGGATCATCTGATACACCTCCTGTACGGGCTGACACCACTCATTCACCCCCCCGGCCCGTCATTTTTGGCTCGACGCAATCAGGCACCTGCTGATCAGCTGCCAAACCTCACAGACAAAGTGACCACATTTTGGAGAGGATCAACGCTTGGAGTGTGACGCTGGCGGAGAGAGAAATGTTGAGTGAAAGAGAGGGATGCCACTTTGTTTAGACCTTCAACTGGTCCTAATAATATTTGGGGGATGTATTTATTTACATAACCCTGTTTCATAATATCTAGTTTTGCATAAACTTCAGATTATTATGTGCTGTTGTATTTAACCACGTTCACTATTCAACTCCAGCGTACATTAAATTAAAAGGCTTAATGACACATTTCAATATGTCTTTTTTTTAAACTCGGCAAATAAAATCTATTCATCACAAACTTAGAAGATGACCGTCGGCAGCATCGTGCCGTCTTCACATTAAAAGAAAAGAAGAAAAAAAAACCCTATCTAGTTTGTTTAGCAGTTAATTTTTTTTTGAATATGTAGATCCCAGGTTTCCTTCGCACTAACGGAAGAAACTCCGTCACTGTGGTTCAAGCATCACGTTAGCAGAAAAAGTACACGTCTAGTAAATGATACTGGTCCTGTTTTTTCTTGTTTTCAACCAAAACACATTCAGGAATGTGAGTTCAAAACCACCCCACGACCCCCCCTCTGTCATAGACGTACGGGACCAGAGAGTTCAAATTCTCCAACAACTTCAGGCGCCTAACGACACTTTAGTCTTTAGTAAATAACACAGCGGGAAAAGTGGCTCTCTGGAGGGCAAATTCTCATTGATCATATCCCAAACTCTGTCCTCCATTATATTATGGACTACTGTACAGTAAGACTTCAGATGTGCAAAGACAGAAGTTTGTTTTTTTGCGTGGTCAGCATAGGGGGCAGAGAGCGGAGGCAGGCATGACCCTCCTTCGGCCTTTCCTCGTCTTTATACAGCAGGCTGCTCCCTCAGCGGAGATCCGCCCGCCACTATAGGATCTCCAAGTCCACGTGGCGAACCTCCGGGTTCCGTTGCTGCGGAGGGGAACAAAACACGGTTACTTCCAAGTCGGTCTTTGATGTGCAAAATAAGTCCAACAATAGCATCCTGAAATAGTAAAAACTGGCGTATCTATGGATTTTGTTGACAATAATCAGAGGTTTAACCTTGAGTTCTTTCTCCAAGCGGTCCACCTCGGCCCCCAGAGTGTCAATGACGTTCTCCCCGTGTTTCAGCATGAAGCTCTCCAGCTCCTCGGGGTTCTTCACCTGCTGGATCTCCTGCAGACCCACACAAAACCACACCAACTTCAGTAAGTGTAGATAAAGGTAGGGGGTACACGATGGATACAGTAGAAGACAAAAATATCACGTATTTTAGGAGCAACATTTTCATGAAATCTGAAGCACAATGAGGCGGCAACAAAATAAAATGATTTAAATTTGCAAACTACAAGATCAGGAGAGCATTTTTGTCAACTGCTATTGGTAATCGTTGTATTTCTGTAAAGAACAACCAACAATCATGTTACTTATGAAATCTGCAGCAGAGCTTCCACATAAAACATTGTGGAAAACAAAATGAATCATGCGTTAATGTATGAAAACTCTTTGGTAGTTGTCAGCAACAGACACAAATAGAAGGCTTCAGAATACAGTTACACATTTATTTCCTGCCACATATCATATAATTACATCACGTAACGATAGGCAGAGATCAAGATTTAAAAAACAGATGCCATTTTAAAGACCACATGAAGAAATGACTAACAAAAAACAACTTACATTGAGGAGTTGGTCGATATCTTGTTTTTCCAGATAAGACCGTGTCACCACTCGGCCATCAAAGTCAACTTCAGCCTTAAAGCGCACTTTACTCATCCCCAGATCGGTGGCCTTCACATCGTGGATGGCTCTGCTCAAAATAAAGTGAATACCCGTCAACATAGTCAGAAAAACACAATCGCTACTTAAAACCTCCGTGGATTTCTCCTCCAACGCAGTATGTTTATAATGAAATGGAAACACACAAACTCGTTGAAAGGCCACAACGTTTCTGCCTTAAAAGGCAGTTTGTTTCAGCTTGTGTTGTGACTGTTGCGATAAACTGGATCACTTCGCCCCGCTCCGGGTACAAGTGGCCCTAAAGAGATGCATGGAATCACTAGTAAACACCGTGCGTGTCCACGAGCTGACCTCACTGCCGGGTCGTTCTCCAGGAACTCTGTAAGCTTCTGCACGCGCTCGGGCGGGATGGAGCGGCCCAGCAGAGCCTCCGTGTTGGTGTAGATGAGGAAGGCGGAGACGGTGCCCAGCAACGTGCCCACGCCTAGAGAGCCCAGGCTGTCGTAGCACGGGTTACCTGGGGCGGGCCGGGCCCAGGGACATGGAGAGGAACGTGTTTAGCTTTAGGAATCGGGGTCATGGACAACAGTCCCAGCAGACACTTGAGAGAGGAGATCAGACTGAAACCGTCTGGAAGCCTTCCGTGTTTACCAGTAAGTGAGGTGAGGCCCATGCATCCAGAAGCTATGATGACTCCCAACACGGCAGCAGCATCCTCCAGCAGCACCACGTTGGTGCTGGGGTCCCGACTCTGCATTACTGCACACATACAAGATAAAACCACAGGCAACACCCCATTTACAACTCATTATTTGTTCAGCTACATGACGTTATATGCGCTTTGGAAGCTTCCTCGTTGACTAAACAGTAACTTTATTACATTTGGTTTATTTAGTGCAAAAGACATCTTCATGTTTGTCTGTCCAAGGAGTTTTCTTCATTATTTACCCCGAAAGATACCGATGCTTCCCTAGAGGTAAGTTCCTCTAGGGAAGCATCGGTATCTTTCTAAGGACAGCAAGAGCCGTGTGTTGAACAAATTGTCAACCCCCCCACCCCGAGCAGAATGTCTGAATCTGGGCTATATGCTGGCAGATAGAGCTGACTCAACAATTTGCCTTCTTCTGGAACATGTTTGTTTTTACTTATTAACTTGAGTCACACTGCAACACAAAAATCTGTTGTGATTTCTGCAAAATAGATTCTATTAAAATAAAGTGCCTGGCCTTCATGTTACCTGCGGATTAAGGCAGATACGGGTAAAGTAAACTGCTGTCTCAGCTCTAAAGATTCACTGTCATTCCTGGTGTATCATCAATGAATGATAAATACTTGTACGTACCATATTCATAAAAAGACACTCCATGTAGCTGAGCGCTCCTCTTTATCTCATTGACAGCTACTAATAACGTGGCTGAAAAACAAAGATACAAACAGGTCTTAGTATGAAATGCTGCGCGAGGTCAAAATGTTGTCAAAGATCCGCAGCTTCATTTTTTATAAATCACCTCCTTCAGACACCAGCGAGCCCGCCAAGATACAATAAGCCTGGAACACAGAAAGGAGGCATGTTGGATCATTTCCCGTGATATGCGTCCGGCAGCCCAGAGACGGATGGGAGAAGACACTCACCCATAACAGAGACTCGACGGGCCCCGGGTGCAGCAGTCCCATGATGCCGTGGTACCAGGAGAGGCCGGCTCCCATCATGAAAATACCCACTCCGCTGATGAGGGAGGCGATGTAGCGCATGTTGGTGAAGCCGTACCTGGACAAGACGAAGGGTCTCTTTTTACAGTCGACAGGGATCTCAACAGGATTGTTCTGCTGATGTGGTAGTATTATGGTGGTGCTTACGGGTGGCCGGCATCCGGGTTGCGGACAGACTGGCTGATCCCCAGAGCCAGGAGGGCCTGGTTGCAGGTGTCGGCCAGCGAGTGGATGGCCTCCGAGAACATGCTGGAGGATCCAGTGTACACCCAGGCCAGCAGCTTGAAGACAAAATTCAGCCCATTGCTGAAGGAAAGGAGAGACGAGTAGGTCAATTCATTAAACAAAAAACAAGCGGTACAATCATAACTAAAAATATATTAAAAGATGTAAAAAGACAATATGAAACAAAAAGCTAGACAGTAGAAAAGAGTTTTAAGAAGTGATTTGAAATAGATTTATAATCTAAAACAGAATTTCATGATTGGTCTGCAGATTCATTAGGATGTTTGTACAAGACATAAAAACAGTAAGATAATTGATCGCTTGCTGTTACAAGTAGGCCAACTAAGTTGGCTGTAGATTACATTTAAATTGAAAACATCCAATTACTCATATTTCAACTATTTTTTTTTTAGTGAAAAGTATTTGAGCTTTTTGGATACTTCTGAATAACATAATTTACACTTTGACCGAGCCTTTGGATCTCGTGAGTCCAAACTAAGTGAAGGAAAGGCTTCATGTGACTGCACATGTCCTCTTAACACAATCATCCTAATCTAATTGTTTACGGGACATGCGAGACGAGGTCCCCAGTTCACATCCTTACTAATGTGCCAGTATTTTTCAGAACAAAAGGATCTCAAGTGAAACTAGATCAGCTGTACAAATGTGGTCAAATCTTTGGGAAATGTTGTGTATGTTACACATATATTCCTCAGACAAACTGAACGCGTCGCCATGCTGAGTGGAGACTTGTGGTTCCTCTCTAATCCGATACCTCCCCCTGCCCGCCCCAAAGCTTAGACACAGATTTTGCCGGCATTATCCCAAGTTAATTAATCGGTGGAAAAAATGTCGTCCTCCCCCCGGCATCCCCGTAAAGTACGGACCGACATTCCACAGTGTTTCCCCAACCATTATATTAGGGGGCGCCCACCATGAAAAAGTCTGGAATTTAGCAGACAGACTACTGCTCACCCATCGTCGGCCTTTCCCCCGACTGCTCCCCTCCCTTAAAGTTGGAAACCGAGAGTTCACACTGTTCCAACACAACCGATCAGCGGTCAGAAACCACGGCGAGAGAATCCAAACTTACATGCATATAGCGACCATGACCACCTTCCCCGGCCCTTGTAGGAAAGTCGCCCTCCTGTCGGATCGAGGCTTTGTAGACCAAAGAAAAAGCAAAAGGGAAATTTGACCAAAATGCCGTTGATCTATCAAACACATGATTGGATATTAACAGCGGTGTTCATAAAGATAACATTATTAAGTTTTCTCATAATACACAATACTGTGGAAAAGCAAACCAGCCGGTTACAGAATGTACCGTGACTCAGAGAGGTGTAGAAGAATATAGTCATTAAAATAACACCACCGTACGCGTCATGAACGGCAGCAGAGGACGTCACACAGACGCTGTGACCTCTGTGACCGAGATAAAGGTCACACAGATACACCACCAACGTCCACGTCGCTTTGTCTTTCGCACGATGTGGAGAACTGATCCTATACTCAAAAAGGACAGGCAGAGATTAAAAGTGCTCACCTTAGTGTTTCCCCAAAAGTCTTTGTATTCCTTCAACAGCTGTTGATTACGAAAAATATCTGGAAGTCGATAGAAAAACAACAACAACAACAAAAAACAAGATATGTCAATCATATCATAAACATAAGAATGAATAACGGAACATATATTTTCCTTGTGGCAGAAAGTTAGATGAGAAGATTAACACTGCAGCTTCAGACTGGAAAATACAGAAACCAGCTAGTCTGGTTCTGTTCAAAATGACAAAAGCTGCCGACTTTGTTAGTTGTGTCATTTCATTTTTATATTGTGTTTAATTTGTACAAAAGTGTAAAACAGAAGGTTATGTGTGGGATTATATTTTGGATCCAAGCTGGGACTTCACTGAGACGCTTTTGTGGTAAAGACTCAAGAGTCAACAAATAGTCCGGAACATAATCGATCTTCTCACCAAACGCTGTGGCAGAAAGTGAAAACACAAATTTTGCAAAATGTCAAACTTTTGAGCTTTGAGACAAGACATTCCGTATTATGGCATGTTCACACACATTCAACACCTAAAAAACAAAAAACCTACTCTCTTGGTACTCTCTCTCCACTTCTTTCCTGAGGTTTCGCTCTCGGGCTAGAGCCTCTTGGCTTCCCCAAACCTCCAGTGCTCTAATTAACACAGAACAATAATCCACAGTCAACAAATGTAGAAAAATACACCAATACAAAATTGGTCATTTACATTGTTACTTATTGTAAGTCAGACAGTTTTGTATTGTAAACATCTCTTTGGTTCGAAGCAAAAAAGATGTGTAACCAACTTGGCTTCCACGTCCGACCGCAGAAAGACAGTGAACGCCTCCGTGTCGTCGTGGGGGCTGCGTCTCCTGATCTTTCGAAGCTGTTCCAGATCACTGTGAACATAAAATGGGAAGCAGGTAAGTAAAAGATGGAGGAGGACCAAAGTTAAACAACGATAGGCAGTCTTACATCAACTGATTACACACCATGTGGTCTGTCCGCATCTTAATTCAGCTTCCCCCACGGGGACATACAGGTTAGCGGTGCCTATATCAATGAAACTGGAGAGTTTGGGGTTACCTCGGTTTGAGGCAGAACTCATTCATGGCTCTGACTGCTGTGATGAAGTTGTTCTTAGTGTACTTGGCTCCATAATCCCTTTTCTTCAGCACTGCCCGAACTGCGTGTTGCAACAAAGGGGGAAACTATGAACATCTGCATTCATTAGTCCCAATTCTTGCACAAGCCAAGAATCATATGCACATTCTCATGGTATTGAAAGTAGAAGGGGAAGCAAAAGTGAGGCTGTTTCACGTGAAGCAATCATAAATGTAGTTCTGTACCTTTCACTTGAATAGTCTCTGCTTTTGTCAGCCCCTGAGATGTCGGATCTATGACAGAGAATATTTAAATGAGCTATTGAATCATCCATAACATCTGAATTTACCAGAAATATTCCCCAGTGCTTAGTGTGTGAGGGCACGCGCGATTACAACCGTTTAAGCGGTTCAAACATGGGGGGGGGGGGGGGGGGGCGGCATTAATGAACACAGGACAAAACTCCAAGATCAGACAACAACTCCAGCATTATTTGGAAAATAAAAGGCACTCACCCAATGAAGCTGGGGTGGCTTTCATCGCAGCAGACAGGATGGTCTCTGCTGACGGAGCTTCTCCGGATGCAGATTTTGGGGGGTCATCGGTGCTGTTGCCAGAGGTCGAGTAGTACTGCGCTTTTCCCAGCCCGAGAGAAGCGGGGCGGCAGTCCGGGAGGCTGAACCACAAACTGTGCGTGCCTCCGCTCTGCCAACCTGCACAACACCATGTTACGACATCACCGCTTGTAAATGACTGCATAGTAAGAACGAGCTTCATGTAGGGAAACAAAAAAAGCACGTGGAAGGAACGCGTCGATATTAAGGCTCGTCTCACCGTAGCAGAGCGGGGGGAACCTCGGCGACCGCTGAGACAGAGGCGCCCGGTGCTGCAGGGACACCCTGCAGAAGACGTGCCACGGCCGGTGGGCCAAGCTGGGGAACATCCTCGCTGGCGCGGGGCTCGGTAGCGGAGTGCGGGAGCTGGCTACACAAATGACACACGGCCGCTGTTGTGTTAGCTCGTCCACTTAACTTAACCCAATTCGGACAGATTAACGCAATGGCATCGCTTCTCAACATCTAACGTAAGCGTTTAAAAGTGCCGTCAGGCAGGTGACGTCAGCGTGGCTAGAAACAGAGTGAAATATTCCACGCGGCGGACCCTGACGTCTGGCTGTCATTGATAATCAATCGGTTGGGGGAAAATTGCCTTTACGTGCCGGCTCGCGCAACGACGGAGTCACACACCGTTGAGTTAACGTTAGCTGCCGTCGTTAGCTAACGTAAGCTAGTAGCAGTAAGAAAACACCGTTAGTAACAAGTTCTCTGTAACGTGTTTAGCTAAAACAACCGCACAGCGCGTACATTTAGATTAGGCCATCAAAAAAAAAACGAATACCTTTTCTATTGTGAGGTTTGTCGTGCATAATATGTGTCCATTTTGTGAATCTATGGTCAAACCGACGGTATAGACACTGTGGACCTGACCTGTGACTCAGTGACGTCGACTGTCTTCTCGCGAGAGCTGGAAAGGTTACTTTGACTAGTACCGCGATAACCAAACAAGGTCACTCCTTTTTTTTTTTAACCAATCCTCAAACTTAATCTTATTTTTGGTTTTAAACGCTATTTTACAGTGGTTGAAGATGTATGTTAGGTAAAACAGTCAATACTACAAAATACAGCTAATCGATACACCTTATTGTTTTCTTATCCTTTCTTCTTTTTTGTATGCTTTCTCATTCTGCTCATTTCAAAATAAGTACTAAAAGAAACAGCAAATGTAGCATTCCGCAGCAGAATGGGCTCTGTTGGGATAATATCTTTCAAATATTGATTTATTATTTGAATCTAAACATTTAGGAATTGTATTCTTAGTTATGTTTATTATGTTTTGTTTGTAAAAAACACTCAACTGGTAAGCGTAAAAAAATAAAATTGTATCTGTATATGAGTAGTTTATAACAGGGGGATTCAATTGCTTTTTATTTGTCCTCTACCCACAGCAATTGTAAAAAGACATGGAAGTGCACTAGTCGGAAAAAGTGATGCAACTCTGCGCCATAATAAACAATCTTAAATTGTAGTTACAGAATTGAGACAAGTTGCACAACAGTTGCAAAAAAAACCCTGTTTATTGAACCTTCACAAAAGTTGTAAATATGTGCATAGCAGTGTTTGTAATATTCATCCGACAAATGACTAACAAGTCAAATAGATACACTAGCAGAGGTGTGTGTGCTCTCTTGACCTAATGCAATCACTTGACAACAATACCTGCAAATCCACCACTTCCATTTAAAAATCATTAAAATGGAACCCAGAATATAAAATCAATAATCAATAAGACCTACAGTACAGTTTAAGAAGGCAATAACTCTGTCTTGGTCCGTTTAGGAAGAAGTTGGAAAAGATGAAACACTATGCACAAATAATGTCACTTAAATGAGTGAAAATTGAACTCTTGTTTTTTTTTTTTTAAAGCAATTGGTGAAACTGATGCAAGACCGGTACAGAGGAGCGACTCCGTCCTGGCACGCTAGTCTGGAAAGCTGGAAAAGGGGTTAACGCATTGTGACAAACTCCTCAGACGAGGTGGGGTGAATGGCGACAGTCTTGTCGAAGTCCGCTTTGGTAGCGCCCATTTTGATAGCAACAGCAAAGCCCTGCAGCATCTCGTCGCAGCCCAGGCCCTGCATGTGCAGCCCCACCACCTGAGGAACAGAGACCCGGCAGCCTCTAAGAATCACTGCAGTCACTAGTGTTCAAACAGACAAACAGTAAAAAAAGCACCGTGACACATAAAGATGGTCCATTGGAATGGAGTTTAAGATTTTCCTAAACTTGCCTAAATCTACTTCTAGTTAAGCCGGCAGACATGAGTCTGAATGACTTTGATTATGTTACAACATAGGACTCCTACCTTCTCCTCCTTGCCCTCACACACCAGCTTCATGATGCATTGACTCTTCCTGCTCGTGATGGCGTGATACATCGGAGTGAAAGAAGTCTTGTAGACCTTCACGTTCTCCTTTCCTCTAGACCTAATGGCCTCCTCTGGGAACGGTGGGACAAAATAAGTGTTTTGAATGACTGTTCTCATGAGCAGGATAAAGGATGAAAAACACTGGACATTGGTGAAAGTAGTGCTCACCTTCTGTGAGGCCCACAGTTCCAATGGGTGGGTGGCTGAACACCACGGTGGGGATGCAGGAGTAGTCCAGCTTGGAGTCGTTCTTGTCCTCAAACAGCCTGTGGGCCAGCTTTCTCCCTGCGGCTATGGCAACTGGCCCCGACAAACAACATTGCATCGGTAAATGTGCTGACAAAACATTGTGCACCCTCTAAGGAGATGCAGTACCTTCTTCAACTGTGCATAGAGGAAAGAAAAGTAAACAGGCTTTATTTTCCATCTTATTTAGTTCCAGACAAAGCTTGTAAACAAGACAGGTGTGGACTTTAAAGTGACTTAATAGACACAGTGGAAATAATGGCAGTTTCCTTATCAAAATATTCCCCAGTTCTGTGCAACAGCAACCAGACCGAAGTATGGAATTCCTACTGAAGACCTCTGATATTCAACATTGGAGACCAAACACTATGGAAGCCTTAAGCACCACTTTAGAATGCAAACTCAATTGTGAAGCTTTCAACTTCTGCAAAAGTATTTGAGTTGTTGGTGCAATTTCCTACCAGGAGTGAGAAGAGCTTTGCCACAAACGTCGCCCACGGCGTAGATCCCCGGTCTGCTGGTGTTCTGAAACTCATCCACAACAATGTGGCCTCTTTCATCCATTTCCAAACCCTGCAAACAGAGACAATATTTGTTGTACGGTGAGGATGAAGGAGCTGAAACATCACATTTAAGGCCCCAAGTGCTTCTCTCAGTTCCTTAGAAAGCTCGGTTGGGATTAGTATGGGGAGAGTTACTGGTATAGTTTGTTCCTTTTGGTTCTCTTCGTTAATAAACCCAAGCAAGACAGTGAAGACTTGAGCTTTCAAATAAAGAGAGACCATCAAAGAAACAAGGAGTCATCTTTCTGAGGAGGCTCAGAGCTTTACATATAAACCCAAGTACACACATCCACGGCGACGATGTTTTGTATACCATTTTCTCCGGAGCTCATGTGCCGTGTTTTCCGCACAATAAGGCACATAAGATACTGCAGTCTTCGTCTCACTGTCAAAATTCGAGAGCGCAAATCAGGTTGATGCGCAAAAGTCCGTCTCGAGCGAGATATTTGCTCGCTCGCGAAACGTGAACTTCGTTGCTCGCGAGGAGAATCTCTCAACCCGCTTGCTGTTGTTCTTTTTGACAGTAAGGTGGAGACGGTGCTTTCAGGGTCCGATCGATGCTGCGAGGTGCGTCCGCTCCCGCCGCCCCCCTCGCCTTAAATCTTCGGCAGCTTTTAGAATAACTTTCCCCGTTAAGATGGTTCAGCTACTGTAGAGAAAAGGGCACCGTCTCTCGCTTGTTTAATGTCATTATGTGCTCGGCGAGAACGACAGCTTTGTTTGTCCGACGCGCCCTGAAACAAGCTCCATATCTCATGCGCTTGAGCGCCCGCTCAGCATCTCGCCGTCGTAGACAATCTTTGGCATGTTTGGCAGAGCGCCTTGAGCGCCGTGTACAACCAGTGTGGATCAACCCATTAACCAATTGATCCATATATATATATATATATATATATATATATATATATATAAAAATATATATATATATATATATATCTATATATATATATATATAAAAGGCGCTCCGGATTATAAGGCACGGACGTTTTTTGATAAAATTAAAGGCTTTTAAGTGCGCCTTGGAGTGCGGAAAATGCGGTATATTGACTTTAATACTACAAGAGGGCGCCCTGTTTGTTAAACAACGACAGGCGGACAAGAGCAGCCGTTTCGAGCGAGAGCCTTATTGTTTTATTAATCTGTCCGTTTAAATGGTTTGTGCTTCATCAACTAATGTTTCACATAACTAATGTGCCGCATCATAAATATTTTTATATTAATTTCAAACTTTTCAAAATTGAAAATTCAAAACTTTTTATTTATTTATTGTAAATGACCGCTCGCGATTCACACTTTGGGAATCGCTGGGTTAGACAATAAAGACGAGACAGAATGTGCCATAGTAAGTTATAAATGTCTATTACTCTTTCCCATTGTTAATAGAAAGAAGCCTCACTGTCATTTAACCTGTTATAAATGCTTCTGTTAACCCTCAGATAAAACATTTCACTATTTGCGTCTAACAAACAAAGACAAACAATGACTGCTGAACGAGTCTAGTAGTGCTCCCGGATTATCTCGAATTGTTGATGTAAGGGGATCCCTGCCTTATTAAAGATGTTTGACATTAAGAGACTAATGATCTGCAGTGCTGCTACGATGAAGTGGCCAGTTAGGCAGCTAAAACATGTTACCATGGCGGCGACGTTCAGTCCAGAAGTGTTGGGCTGCCTGCCGATGGCCCAGAGAAGGCAGTCCACTTCCTGGATGGTGCTGGTCTTCTCCTCGTCGTTCTTCTTCTCCTGGTCTTTGGTGACGACCGTCACCTCCAGTCCTTTTTCCGTTTTACGCACGGACGTCACCTGAGAATTCTTCCACAGATCCACACCAGAGTTTTGCAGCTCTTTGGTGCAGTTTGTGCTTAGGAAGCTGTCGAAGTTCCTCAAAACCTACAGAGAGTGTTTGTGGAGCACATGGAGTTATGTATTTGCATAAGTGCACACTTTTGAAAGTGATCATTTTTGTATTTAGTTATGATTCGGTGAGTTTCTTACCCCGGACTGTCGAATAATCATTGATGTTTTGGAGCCCAGGGTGGAAAGGATGCCGGCCATCTCCACTGCGATGTAACCTGCACCCACAATCACGGTGCGCCTGTAGTGGAGAAGCAAGCCTTATTTTAAAAAGGCAAAAGCTTTACACATGGTATTACACATAAGAGTTTACCACAGATGGGCTTACTTTGGCAATGTTTCAAGTTCAAAGAATCCATCACTGGTAATGCCAAGATTTCCCCCTGAAATGACCAATACAGAGTATATTATGCACAATTGTGTTTATGCTCTTTATAAAAGTTGTCTTTTAGGTTAATAGAGGAAAACAGGAGACGGACATTCTGTTTATTTCATTATCACAAATGAACCAAGGGCACACTAGCAACAAGTGTGGAGGAAATGTTGAAGTCCCCGGTTGGCAGTTTTTTACTGTAGTTTGAAGCATTGCATAAAGAGCTGCGACACTTCCTCGCCTACGGTTTAGCGCTGATCAAAAGGTTTGGTGGGAGTTCATTATTTCATTCATTCATTATTTTAATTTGAATGGAAATATCCTCCTGGAGAAAAATGTTGTTTTTTTTTTCCAAATGTTGCCTTTATGGACAAAATCAAATGTGTGACTTGTTTAAGTGGTGTCAATTAAACTTAAATTGAATAAAAACTACTAGGACTGAAGTGATGGTGAAACGGAGCACTGAATAACAATAAGATCAAAAAATGGCAATTCATATCAAAGAGGTTGCCGTGATTAAATTAAACCAACTGTTCCGGGTAAAACCGGAGACACATAATTCACCTGGAATGTCGGCATCACTCAGAACGGTCGGCTGCCCTCCGGTTGCAATGAGGATGTGAGGCGCTGTGTACTTTCTTCCATCAACCTCCACAGTCGGTTCAGGGTCATTTGTAAACCTGGCATGACCTTGGATGTTTTGGACTTTAGCCTTAAAAAGGGTTCAGATGTCATTATTTCTTCTGCAATCATTTTTTAGAACAACATAAACTGAAGCAAATGCTGCTAATTTGCTTCAGTTTCAGTTTATGCAGCAAATATACTTACTTATACGAACTTACTTTGTCGAGGTTGTTGCGATAAATGCGATTTAAGTGACTGATATAAGCGTCTCTTTTGGCCTTGAGAGCTCTGCAAACACAGGAAATGATCAAAGAGAAGAGGTTGTTTGTTTGTTAACCCACATTCAAGCAAGAAAAAAAACTTGCATTCAGGTGGTAAACGCAACACAAACACTATTCAAGAATCACAACTGACTGCAAATACATACAAAAACATACACCAACAAATGCAGAGAAAGATCAGCTTTTCATAACCACTTCACTCGATTGAATAGCTCGAGCTCGAAAATACACACTCATCCCAAAAGAGAATGCGGATGCACTAGTGTCAATAAGCTATTGTAGATTACTAGACTAGATACTACATTCAGTGGGGAGGTCAGAGGGAAGTTCAACATTACAACTTTACAACCATTAGAGTCTAAAATAATTGGGGAACAGAGTTTTGAAATTTACTTCTCGTGAGACTCGAGTTCAAGATTTTTTTATTTTGAGTACGAGAAATATTTTTAAACTGATGGTATTTACAGTTTACAAAAACTTTTTAAATGTTGCCGCAACATAAGACGGGGTGGACAAAATAACGTAAACAATCCAACGTCACAAACTACAGTCGACTATAGAACTCAATGATTCAACTAGTACTTTGAAAACAGATAAAACGTTAAAGAAGATGAAGTTGAATGCAAGGAGTCCATCAAACACGTTTGCTGTATTTTAATACAAGTTTTTCCAAACACGGCCTCGCCGGTTGGTTGGTCGGTCGATAAATCATTGACCTCCAAGCCCTGATGTGTTTCGTTGCCAAACATAAGCTCCTTCCAGGAGGATGTTATGTTTGGCCCTCATCCCGCATCCACTCACTCAAAGTCACAGAGCGGAGCCGGAGTGAAGCAACAGAAAGACGGGGACACCTTTCCGTTACAGGAACGAGCACTGGATATTGCTAAAGAGCTCAGTGTGGTTGCACAACACGAGGTGAAATCAAGACACTGCGACTTACTCCCAACTGAAACGGACACTTTCGACTTCAAAGCCGTAGTCGCTGTGGTCGTGGAGGTACTCGGCATGAACAGCTGCATTCCACATGACCTGAGAAGGCACATGGTTAGCCCGCTTGTGAATTCTTGATTGAGAGATTAAACTCGGCCTATTGCAACAACAATGGAAATACAAGAGGAAAATGTACCTTCTTTGGGACACAGCCAACATTGACCTGAAAAACACCCAAACAGAGCAAGTTAGTTCAGCATCGAACATGAGATGTTAAAATATTTATTCAGCGCCACATCATTGTCATATGACACGGGTGGAAGTAAATTAATGACAAACATTTATTATGAACTTAGTATAAAAAAAGTTAAAAACACATTCTGCAAATATATGCAATATTTAATCGAAATACTATGCCTTCAGTTTCTGTGTACGGAATGATGTTATTTGAGCTCATTTCCTCATCTGTTACCAGCATTTGGAAACTAATCAGCAGAAATGTGCCACCTTTGTTGGTTGGTTGTTTTGGATGGATGTCTTTAATCATCAACTTCCAATCTAGATGGAATGAAAAGTCACCTGCGAGTGATACATTACTCTACAGCAGCCTGCGCTCGTGTTTAAACACCCGAATCAACGTCTTCAGCTTTAATACCTCTACTCTACAGTGATGCAACCGCTGGACGATGTTTTCACCACCGTAAACCCTGTTTAACTTAAATATGAAGACATTGACCCCCTCGATGCCCGATTCATCTGTTTGTTGGAAACACAAAACACTTCCACAAAAGGAGTCCGGAGGCTTCGCAGTGAACCTGGCAACCGGCTGCAGAGGACGTATCGCGCTGTTGTTGTTTTATTCTCTTTTTTTGTTTGTTTGTTTGTTGTTTTACTCACGCAGGTACCTCCGAGTCTGTGACTCTCGATCACGGCTGCAGACGCTCCGAGCTCCGACGCCCTGCGAGCGCCGGCCAGGCCGCCGGAGCCGCCGCCGATCACCAGGAAGTCGAGCCGGGTCGTCTGCGGGTCTGCTGAGGCCATGGCGCGGCGGGTGAGAGCTGCGTGTCTGCGGGGAGACCAGAAAAGTTGCTCTCTGAGGCAGGAGGTAGCTGGCGACCGGGCGAGCTGCCTTAATATTGCCATAACCAGGAAGCTCGCGGGAGCGCGCGCGGAACAAAATGGGAGGGTCAAGGGAGAGCCGCCGACTGCTGTGTCATTATGAATCGCAACAATGCTTTTGTAAATCCCAGAAACGGGGTTTTCACAGTAGTCATGGTGATGCGCACATCGGAGCTCGCAGTGTTACAACAACAGCGGCGGAACAGACCGCGAATACCACCGAGTGTACATTTTAAACGGTGACTAAGTTTTGCGGTCAATAAAAGGCAAGCGGGGTTTTAACCGTTCGTGGTTGTCGTGGAGACGGCGGGTTGCTCACCTTGGTAACGCCAGGGACGGAAGCAGCCTGTTGAATAGCATGATTTATTCGTTTAGGGTCGTTTTAATGAGGCGCGCGTCCTGAAGTTTGACTTTATTGTAACGTAATAACACTTCCTGTGTCACGGGGTGAACTGGACGCCCAGTTCTGGACGCCCGCCGAAAACCATGTAGGAATGTTTCCTTTTGCAGTTTTATATCAATTAAAATACGCAGGGGAGGTTGTCTTGTTTGAGGTCGTGAATAACGGCTCGAGCATTAACCAACGTCACTTGTGCGGGCGCGTACGTAAAAACAAGCGTGCATAATCACACGGTGGGATGGCGATTTGCGTAGCAATTTTTTTTCAAGAATACCTCAGGCCTACGCAGCACGTAAATAAAAAATAAACGAGCGGACTTCCGGCCCAAACCTTCAAAATAATACATCCGGTTAATTTTCAAATACAAAGCTCTGGTGTATTGGTGAATGAGGTAAACCTTGTACGGAAAATAAAATAGAAAAAATACAATTTGTAAGTCAAGACATGTTCTTCAACGTGTTGATTCTTGTTGAACTAATGTGTTGGCTTTTCAATGAAGAATGTATTATCTCGCAAACAGTATCGCTGATCAATCAACATTTTTTATCAATCAATACAACTATGCAACAAATATCGTTTTTAGAGAGCATTATCGAAAAACTAATTGCAATGTAACTTAGTATTTGTATTCCGCGCTCTTGTTTTGTAGGCGAGAAAACCCGTTTTCCGGAGTAGTGTCCGCTAGCCAACGGTTGCTAAAGCAAAGCTAGCGCAAAGCGGCTCGGTTGGTCTCGTAGATGAGCTTCAATATCCAATCCACGAAAAGGATTTATTCAATTCAAAACAGACGACAGATAAATACACCACACTCCTGCAGAAGGTACGTGCGCGGCATTTGACTCTGTTGCGAACATAAACATTTGAAAAGCGGGCCGTCGTCTTTTCACCCTCCTTGTTGTGGTCAGATGAGGCCTTTTCCTCGGGATCAAAGGGAAGACAGCGCCGGACTACAGGAGGAAAACCATCGAAAATACAGAAAAGGGGAACCGCTTTCTTTTCCTCGCAATCCGCTATCCGGGTGTCCGGTGTTAAAGAAAAAGGCTTCACCTGAAGGGAAGGGGGCTACAGAACGGCCTTGTGTTGTTAACAGTACTGTGAGGTTCAATCTCTGTTTTTATCGTTCCGCAGTGTGAGGCCACCTCACCTGATCGGCGCGTGCGGCTCCTCTCTGCATGACCTCCGGGACCTGCGGCCAGATGACCTGCCGACCTCTCGCCGCTTCATCATGAATCCCGTCAGCTACCACAGCGTGAGGGCCTCCGTGAACGGCGGTCATCCCAATTTGGTCCTGGATCGGGTCTTGAGCTCCTCCAACGTGAAGTGCTGTCAGAAATGTGGATTTGCCTCCCCGGACGCGGCGGAGCTGAAGAGGCACATGCTGGAGCACAGAGGGACGAGGTTCTACTGCTTTTACTGCAACAAGGTCACGTTCAGCGAGGCGGAGTTAAACGCTCACCTGAAGCAACACGGCTCCAAGTATCCGTTTAAATGTCCTCACTGTGGACAGGGCTACATGCGGAGGTTGTGCCTCGTCAAGCACATCGATCGCCTGCACAGTAAAGGCATTGGTCAAGAACTCGCTAAGCCCGGCACGACGAAAAACTCCCATGTCCCTGTCTCCGGTGCCTTATCTAGTGTGCCCACTGCTGATCCGGCATCATTCCGTCCGTCCGTCCGAGTGACGGTGCCCATCCCGGGAATGTCTGCAGTCAGGCCGGCTTGGGATGAACTGAGGGGCAAATCACTGGACACGAACGGGGCAAATGCCACGCACGGCAATGCGGAACTTCTGACCCCTTTGAATGGACACGTACAGCACAACAGAGCTCTGACGGTCTCTCTTCCGGAGGAGGTGACGATCCCCGCCGGGTGTTTGGTGGAGCTCGTCGAGGTGAAGACTGTGAACGGGACCAAGGAGCTGAAGCTGAGGCTCGTCTCTCAACAGGAAAACGAGTCTGTGATAAAAGAGACGAGGAGCACGGTCCCTCCAAACAGTGCACTGGGAAAGCCCTTCTTATACTCATTAAATCGCCCCAACGCGGCGAAATCCATGAGCATGGGGATGTGCACCGTCAACAGGAAGCAGTGCGAGACAAACCCCGTGAATTCGGGACGTCCTGCTGCTTTCCCCGTTTCCAAAAGCCTCCCGAATCACGTAAACGAAGAGAAAAATGGATTTAAAAGAGCATCACATGAAATAATCAACTTGGAAAGTCCCACAGTTGTTCCGAACAAGGTTCCCAAAGTCATCCTCAACACTGCAAGAGAAGGAAACAGTGTGATCCAAGGCACTCCGAGCGAACCGGTCAACCACAATGCAGCTGTGCCCTCGGTTATCTGCAACAGGCTCGGCCAAAGGTTTGCGAGCGCCCTGCATCCAGAGAACACGGGAGCACGTGTCTCTCAGCGAGCCGTGGACGAGAGGACTAATTTAGTTCCAGAGCATTCCAAGGGTATCCCACGCAGCAGGGCGAGTGACTTAAAGATCCCTCCTCGGGAAGTTTCTGTGGCTGTAAAGCTGGAACCGGGCGAGATGCGCCTCAAGAGCAACACATCGCCGACGATAAAAAAAGAGGCGGCGGGCTTGAACCAGCAACATTCTTCTTCTCCGGCCTTGAGTGTCCTCTTGGCGGCATCCGCCCAAGTGAGACCTCCGCCGAAACTACTTTGTAAGGACGAGGTTTCGTGTCCGTCCTTTTCCATTCCCAGAAACCTAAGCGAGTCCTCGTCGGTCAAAACGCCGGCGCCGTCCAACTGCAGGGGTCCAAAGGAGTCGTCCTGGGCCCAGGAAGTAGGGTCCGGTCAGAGGGCGGGAAAACGGGACGCGCTAGAGCCTGAGGGTTTCCCCATCATTTCCTCCGTGTTTTCACTTAGCCAACAGCCGGAGGACGTCCAGGGCTCCATGCAACCGCTGGTCATGGCGCTGCGCGGTATAGTGATGGATAAAAGCGGTGGCCCCGAAAGCAAAGCTCAAGATCACGTCAAGGTGCCAAACGCCACGGAGCGGGCGGCGGAGACGGCGACATCCCACGCTCGAGTGTCCGCAATAGACGCACCCACCATCCACGAGTGTTTGGTGACGGAGCGGACCGGTGACTCCGTCAAAGTAGAGGATAAAGGTATGCAGCATCCTCCCGCACCCACCGACAACCCCATCAAGGAGGAGAAAAACGGCACCAAGGCGACAGCTGTTGAGGAACAAAGTCCCGCTCCAGCTACAAAATCCTCCACGGACGAGGAGGCCGTTTCTGCAATTGCTGCGCGTGCGGGGGCGGAGCCCCAGCGCCCACCGGCGAAAAGTGAGCACGACATCCCAAAGTTCCTGACTGTCTCGCTCAAACGGGTACAGGTGGGCCTGTGGAAAAAAAACAGGAAGGGGCTGAAGCTTAGACTATCCAAATATAAGACGCCTGTGGGCGGGCTGACTGACTGCGCGGCCATTTACCCGATGCCGCTGAAGGTGGACCAGCTGGTGAAACGGCCGAGCCCCTACCAGCCCGTGGTGGTGCTCAACCACCCGAAGCCCCGGGTCGCCATACAGGGCGCCAGGTTGGACGCCGTCACGGACACTGGAGAGTTCGAGTCGGCTCCCAAGTGCCAAATCTTAAAAATGAGGCTGAGCAAAGTGATGGGGCAGAAGTACGAGGTGCTGGGCTGCACCGTCGGCGTCTTTCCGTGAATCCACCCGCGCCCAGAAATGGGATTTCAATTCTGAACAAAATGACTAGTATTACAACAGGAAGGTGATGACTTAAAGAAAGAGAAAATATGAGCGAGGGAGGATACGATTAAAAAAAAAATCTGGTTAGCATTGTGTTACATGTATGTTGTTTGTACAGGCATGAAATGTGGAATATTCAAGTGCAATGTGGTTTGACTACCTTGAACTGCTTTGGGGGATTTGCAGTCTTACACAGATGCTGAGTACTGCTCCAGATGTTTGGGAAAGTAGTAGATCTGCCAAGGCGGAAATGCATGCTGTTTATTTAAAAAAAAAAAGATAACATCCTGTGGTTGTTATTTTTTGTTATATTTTCATCAGTAACGCTCCTCTAGATTTGACCAGATGTGTGTGTTGTACACCTGAGAGTATCAAACTCACTCCCTCAGAACACAATGTGGCAAAGAACCGAACTGAATGATGAACGAATAGCATAATGTTGAAATGCTTGTTTTGTGTCAGCGTTATAGGCAGATATGTTGAGCGGGAAGCCTTGCCCAACGTTCAGCATCCACAGCAGCCCCTTTTTTCTCATTTTAACGCACATTTCAACAGTCCGAGACAGAGACAACCAATCGTTTTCCAGCCATCGCACATGGAAAGAGAGCACTGCTTCTTCCTTTTTTCTCCGGAGATGAAGTTGTGAAGGCACTTATGTTACATCCCAAGTCTTTTTAACACAATTGCCTTAAAGCTAATCAACAAGGCGCGTTCAGCTTTAAAAAGCTCCTCCGAATCTGTTCTGAGAACTGTTTGAGTTAACATCCGGTTTCAAGTGTGCGGCACTCACTGTTGTTTAGTGGTGCATTCAGGATACTCCTTCAGCACACCCAGAAATTGGAGGAGTATCGCCTGAGTTGTATTTATTCGGCCAACAGTCACTGGAAAATGAATCACCTGAACTGGACCAATAGGGGAAGAAAAACTACTACGTGGTGTAAATAATGGAAGCTGGGCATACACACTCTTCTGTCTGTTCAGGTTTCTCAGTTTGGATGTATTTTAAATGACCGGGTGTTGCAGAGAAATGGTTAATATTTTTTTGCCAGCTCTCCTTAATGTGTTGTGTGAAGGGAAACGTCACGTGTATTATAAACATTTCTCACCAGTGTTCTCCATTTTCACCCCCCCGAATCACGGTGATAAAACCTTAATGTCATTAACTTTGCCAGTTGATTGGGAGTGCCTGAATGCACCGCGAGTCATTAGGTCTGAGGCTGGAGCCAACAGCTTTAATCTTGACAACTGCTGATACAGAAGAAAATAGTCTTCACGAATCATGATACATTTCTCTTCCAAATATATTTCATTCACTTATTCAAAGCAACAGAAACTAATGTCAACATTGTCTTGCATTTGTTTGTTTTTCTCCTTGTCCCAAACGGTTGTCCGATGACCCGTTCATGTAACGCCTCTTCGCAGCTCCTTATACCAGTGGTGAAATAATGGATCCGACGAAAGTCTCGCGAGCTGGTTTATTACTGTTACAGGAAGCCACATGCTTTCATCTGATCTTATGTACATAATAAGCGATTGTTGTGATTCCCAGAGCCTGTTATCTCCATCAAAAGGACACAAGCAATCGTATCTCCGGGTGCTCTGCAGAACTGTTTGGGTTCTTGCGACAGCATCACAATGTTCGTGTGTGTGTGCGTGTGTGTGTGTGTTTATAATCAGTTACCACGATGTATGAGGTGCTCCACCTAACAATTAAGAGGTTGTGGTGGCCCAGTCTTTATTGTGTATATACGTTCTGATCACTCAGATTTTATCATGTACATACGTATAAATATGAAATGTGATAGCTGTTGTTCATGCTCTGTAGGGAATGGTTCACATTCCACAGCCTCTTCAGCTAAAGCAGTTAAGTTGCGCTTTACTCTCCTGGAACTGCAGAGTCAGAAACTGACGTACTTTATTGTTTGTTATATAAATATATATTATTATTTTAAGGGCGTGGGGGATCCTTCTGAATGTTTTACGTTGCCTTCCATACACTTCTCATTTGTGTTTAGAAATACTTATGTCCCTTTTTAAAGCTGTTTTTGGTTCATTATTTTTGTTTTCTTATTGTGTCTCATGCTTTTATAATAACAGTTATGTAACTACTCTTTTTTTCTATTAAAAAATGGTTGCAGTATGTATGGTCTATTCCATTTTGTTCAACAGAATTGTATCGCATCTCAGAGTGTGTGATGTCAACGCTAAAGTGGGGAGGGCCTTCAATACAACCAAAAAGTATTTGAAATTTGCCAGCGTTGTGCAAGTGTACTTAGAAAATCGTATTGTTAGAAAAAGTCTTACTCTACACTCGTGTAAAATCATTTGTGTGTAGCAGCAGCGTGTAAGGTTACATAGTAAACGTGGTATACAGTAAGTGCTGCGTATGAATTCAAAATGCACAATAAATACACACAATAAAATAATATATTCAATTAAGTATTTAAATAGCAAAAAATATGTGCGAGTCGCTAGTCATTGAGGCCAGTTGGAGTTGTCTTCTTTGGTACAGGGACCTCAGGTAGAAGACATGTTGCAGGACGTTAGACAGCTGGATGGCAACGGTCTTCAGTACCCTGGACCTGATACGGTCAGGTCCTTCAGCCTTGATGGAGTCTCTCCAGAAGTCCTCTCACCTGGACAGTCGACAGAGAGAGAGGGGGGGGGGGGGCAGAGTGGGAGAGCCCTTTGATGTATAAAGGTCTTTGATGTTTGTGTACCGGGGGGAGGTGTTTGGGTGGTGTGATGTATGGGGAGATAGCCGAGGGGGGTCTCAAATGAGCCTCCTGTTGTCTCCCTTGAAGCCAGTTATTTGCTTCATCCCGGCTCACACCTCGCTTTCGTTGTTCTGCTGCAGTTTGGTCTCCACCTTATTCCTGTAGGAGTCCTTGCACTCTCCGAGCTTCACCCTCAGGTCTCCACGGACTCTCCGGAGCTCGTCTCCAGACCTGAAAGCTGCCTTCTTCTCATTAAGAAGAGCAATGATGGTGATCCATGGCTTTTTATTTGGGAAGCAGCGTATTTTTTTGTTCTCAGAAGTTGATATTGTTGAGAATTAAATATAACCACGCATCCTCACGCTATACATTATATTTGAGTTATAAATGTGTAACGATAACGGGTGTGATAATCAAAAGCTTTTTCTTAGTGCTCGTTTAGGGAGTCACTGTCTTGAGGAGTCCAAGGCCAGAGGAGAAGCAGAAAGTGTCAACCAGGCGGACACAGATCTGATAAGGATGAGATTTAGAGACACACCAAGCACCATAAAACAATCACGCTTTGTTCATTATGTTCACATTATGTTAGGAGACCACACATTGCATGTGATTAGATCTTGTGTTGTGGCGAGAGGAAATGCTCCTCCTCGACGCCAGTTTAGGGCCAATAGAAATCTTATTATGAAAAAAGTAAAATAGATATCAAGAAGCAGTTTTTTAAATAAACGAGTTTAGACTTTTGTCAACATTTTAAGGTTTAAATGGTGTCTGTAGCTGAAAGATTGGCAAAGCAGAAAAATGTGAATGATATGAGATTATATAAGACTATAAACATTGACGCACAAACATCTTGATAATCCGATGACCCAGAACACAATGTGCACAGACTCTCTGTCGTCTAACTAACTCATATTGACTGAGGTAAAACCTTTTCCTTTGCTATCGGCACTAATTGCTCTGCGTATCTGAAAAAAAACAGCCTGTTTTTAGGCCCCTGTTCAAAAATGGCATAGCCATGATGAAAAGGGAGTTTTTCTCTGGAAATAAAAGGTTAAGGGGAACCCTTGTGAGCGTCTAAAAGAATATGGCACACAGCAAAAATTAAAAAAATTAAAAGAAAAGCAACTTACAGGGTGTCCGTCCCTTTAAAACGTGGAGACACCAGAGGAAAAACACAGTGTGTTGACAGTATATGCGGAATGTTTTACTTTGGTAGAGTGGAGCAGAACAGAGCTTTCAGTACTGGCCTCAGAGGAGAGAAGAGAAAGTTCCCGCCCCTCCAACCTGAAGACGGGAAGGAATGTTTGAGAGACGCATAAAATGGCTGCTGGAAATTTATCAGACAAAAAACCCCTCACTGGGGAAAATGCATTTTTTTGTTTGTTGGAGTTTTGTTTGGAGCAGTTTCAAACGGATGAGTTTTAAGATAATAAGGTAATAATCTTTGTGCATTCTCACCCTACAGGTTTGCATGGAAGGTCTTATCTGGAGGGTGGTTGTTCCTGCGTCCACGTCCACTGCTGCTGTTTCTATTATTATTAGCAGTTCTGCACACTACTCTTAACATACGGATCATTAACGTCATATCTATTGAGAATTTAGTAAATAATTAATGTTGTTCCAGGGACAGAGGATGTCTCTGTTATGTCTGATATCGAAGGAACAGGAGCGTCGCTTATGTGTGTTTTGAGAAGTGGTGCTATGGATAATTACCGAGACCACCGTTAGTAACAGATGGAGTCATTCAAAGCCTCGCGATTGACCCTAGAAGTATATGGGGCCAATATCATAAAGTACATTGTCCACTAACGTGGACGGTTGGCGACGTGTTGCAAGAAATCTATTGACAATGGAAATAATGAGACGGTACAGACGTTCTTTTTATTTGACACAGGTAAACACTCACAAGTTGTTTACTCAGGCATCTTTTTCCAAACAGGCTGCTGTTGATCTTCAGTGGTAATTTGGTGGTTATTTTCCATTGCCAAACAGCTAAATCTATGACATCATTCCACTGTCTTTCATTAACACTTAAAAACATAAAGGCTGAGCGCCTGAGCTTTTTTTCTTTTCCATGACAGATTGAGCCGATTATCTTCACGCGTCACTCCAGCAGTGTGACGAGATCCTCTTTTGTCACGGGAAACGTCAGCACGCAGGTTTCTGGGCCTTGTCTTCGGGGCATGGTCCTCCCGCTGACGAGCATTATTGGGAATATGGAGTGTATCTTGATGATGTTTGCTACAGAGTCAAACAGCTGAGGAGGAATAACATGAGCTTTGAATTAAACATGACGAGGAGAGCGTCGGTTGAACTCTCTTTTCGAGACATTTGTCCACTCACATCGCTCGACCGCTGCCCCGTTCCCAGGGCGTACTTGCCGGAGCTCACGATGAACCGGATTTTGATATTGTAAACCTTCTTCTCGTGATACACGGCCAACACAAAGGGCTCCCCGTTGGTGTTCGTGGAGCAGTCTCGTACCAAAAAGGCTCCGTCCTGAAGTGGTTAATGTGAGAAAGAATGTACTGTTTCTTTTGGTAAGAAAGAATAGAAGTGATACAAATGCATATTATCCAATTGACTTTATCCCAGAATTATTCCAAACTCTCATTTGCTTGTCGGGATTTATTGTGGATCTGTATTTTCAACCCTTATTTCACAAGGAGCCTCCTGAAAGTACCCTGTCGACTTTTATGGATTCTGAACTCTGTTGTTTCTTTTTTTCGTGTCAGTTACCACTGATTTTTATGTTCATTCTATTAGATGTTCTTGTGTAAAATATGAGTGTGCTATTGAAGGAAAGAGGAGATACACTACCTTGTTTACCAGGTGTAAGGCGTGTTCAGCGTCTGCTCGAGTACAAGCCCCAACATACCAGTCTTCTTCGCTGTTTGTCTGCCCGACAATAACAGAGATGGAAGAAGTTAGTTTTTTTTTTTTTTTTATCTTACTCAAGCTCAAGACAAAAATTAGCATCAAAATATAATTAAAGCACAAACAAACAAAAAGGATGCAGAATTGCCTTTTCCATTTCCATTAAGAGTCAAATATATGAACAAGAATTGGTAATAAATACATTTCTCATTTTAATGTTTTGGCTGCTTAATATGAAATACTATTTATATTCATGGGTAGTTCAATCCATAATAATAGATTATCATTTGTATGGTTGACTCATGTTTAGTACCAATAATTTAAATCTGCAAAGCTAAATCAGCTCGAAGTAACTGAAGCATCTGTGTAATCAGTTTTGTGTAATAAAAATCCTGTTTGTCTTTGAAATGTCGTAGAGTGGAAGTAAATTTAAAGTACCTCAAACTCTGCTTGATTACTTAATTGATTACACGTATTTAATTTCAGTTCAGTGCCTAATAGACTTTACTGCAGTAAGTGGTAGCCAGTATACCTGTTGAGGCTTTTCCATTGGAACAAAGTCATGCTGGTCAACGTCTCCTTTGGTTTGAGGCCACTCGTGGTGATGACGTTTTGATCGCCCCCTCTCTGTAAGTAGACGCTAGTGTCATAGATTTCATCAATAAGGGTATTTGGATACTGATGATCTATGGCATCACTTACCTATACTTTGTTGTGAACTAAACAAAGGAAGAAAGAGCCATCAAACATTAATCAACATTACATGATTGTCCTGAAATGCTGGGCAGATGAAACGCTCACCTTCTTTCTAAATGATGAGTTTCCAAATCCAGAGAATTTTTTAGGTTGGAATGAAGGGATGAAACACTATCAGCACGCTGCAGACCTGAAGACACATTAAACATTTTGACCTGTCAAGACCTGCTCAACCAAAGAAATATGACACTCATACAGGTTTAGCTCTTACCTTTGGGTTTTAAACTGAGTTCAGCCTATTAGAAGTATTAACAAGAAAATTAAATTCAAACAAACATCATTTTGTTTGAGGGTCTTTTTCTATTCTGGTCAGACAGTTAATTGGGAAATTTCTAGTAAAAATTCTAATTTTACAACATGTCTTGTCATGACAGCACTGACATTTTAACATGACTTCTTACTTTTTTAGTCTCTCTCTGCCGCCTGAAATGAAAAAGAAGAACCTTTATAATAATTATTAAATATGACATCACAAAACACCTCGTCAATGAAAGCCACGAGCTGTTTCTGTAATTATGTTTCCAACCAGCTGATGGCGTCACTGCCTCACTCTCCAGACTGTGAGGCCAGAAAGAGGTCACACAGGGTCAAAGTAAAACAAACGATGGTCTCTGCACAGTAAAGACAGTTCTCACCCTTTCCTGCAGCATTCGTCTATCGCCAGCCAAGGCAATTGATTCACTATCTCCGTCGGAGGTGATGGAGATCGCCTGGAAGCAGAAAGACTGCAAGTGCAATCACAACTCATTTAAAAGCAACAATGAAAGGCTTGGATAGTAGTCGAGTAAATTACCTGTGTGAGCGCTGTGATGTGGAAAAGAGAGAAAAATCGTCACCTATTAATCAAGTAGCAATAATCAACAGTGTTTATTGGCACAGTAACACAAGCAACAATGAGTACTGGATGCATAGCGAGGTGTTTACCTGCTCTACTGGTAGCCAAGGCAAGGGCTTCTTATCTGTAAGATCCAGATGTGAACGTGTGAGATGCTTCTGAGGCGGTGGAATAAGAGTTCATTAAGTTGACTTACCTAATCTGAACTTTCTTCTGCCTGGTTTAAGGTCCCGGTTTACTGCAGGACCGCTGACTGAAAAACAAGCAATGCAGAAAGACATAACGTATGTGTGGAGGGGTTGGGAACACCGTCCTTCGGCTGGCTCCTCCCCAACCAACGGCCAGTTAGTGGCAGCCCTTAAAAATCACCTGCCGTCAACGCCTCACTCTCCTTTGGTCCTGTGCTGTACAGGTATGTTGGTTCGCGGTAAATTGTATTCTGTACACTAACACGAAGGAACCTCTGGTCCTGTGCTCTACAGATAGAGAGAGGGGGAACCTGCTGCTGTTTTGCCATTTTATATTTTGTAATTTTAGGTTTACTTTCTGATGTTTCCCTCAGTTGTTTCGCTTGCAGTGTTCAACTTGCCTGGTTTTTATAATCTTAATCCTGTTTTATAGTGATTTGTGCTTACCTTGGTTCCATCGGTTTTCTTTAATAAAACCTTTTCTTAATTACTACAAACGTTTCTGCCTAATCCAGAGTAAGTTAGTAGCGTGCCTTGGGTATTTCAGTCTGTATTTCTTGGGGTGTAAGTCCCCAGGTGGCGTTGTTGGTTGCTTCCCCTAAAGCCCCCGTCACATCAGCTGACACGCTATTACATCTTTCAACATTGCATCTGCGGCCCGAAGGATCATCAGCTATTGGCACAAACATTCATTAAAAAAGGTTTGCAAAATGTTAAATGGGATTTGTAAAGGTGTGCAGGTACCTTAGTCTATCTCTTGTAGTGCGCAGTGGATTTTAGTATAACTATTTACCTAAATAGTTTGAGCCATACAGAAACAGTATTGCAAAATATACATTGAGCTAAAAGAGATGTGTGTGTGTGTGTTTTTGGTTCTACAGGTGACCCTTTCACATCCTGGAAAGCCATTTGATTTAATATTACATCTTAAATAATTCAGGTTAAGTGACCATGCGTTGCTTTTGCAGCAGTTAGCAGCCAAGTAGTAAAAAGTAAAAAAAAAAAAGTTGCAAAGATCAGCTAATATAAAGCAAACTGCAGACGTATCAGATCCAGATGACGCAGCGCCTAATGTCACTCTACCTGAAGGAGGTGGGATTTCCCTCTGCGGCACGTTGGCCTGGTGAAGAGGAGCACACGACGACAATCAGCAGACATTCACAGTCCACTAACAGAGAATGAATCCGGACGGAAAACTCACGGCGCAGAGTGATGGGAGTATCGTAGCCGACTGTGCCCTCGGGAGATCCCTATCTGCCAAAGTAAAACAAGTTGAGATGCCCTGCGACGTAATGACAGCAGCTTCAGTGGTTTCCGCCGTTGGCCGACGGTTCAAAGTATAGTTCCCATCACCGCTTTAACGCCGCAGATTTAAAAGCCGTGTTCGGTGTTGAAGTTGCAGACGTGCAGCCGCGAGGCCCCTGGCTGTGGGCCGCATCCATGCAGGATGGTAAAGGGAGTGTATTCACAGCACATCTCCCCCTCGGCTGCCTGGTAATTGTAGCCTCCCCGCGGTTGGCCTCAGCCAACAGATGGCCCTGGAGGCTGGCTGGCTCAGCGTGAGCTGCTCCCTGCTTCTCGCACTCTCTCAGATGCGCACTTGCTTTCATTCTCCCCCACAGTTTGCGGCGGCGCTTCATTCAGCTTTGTTCTAATTATGTTCACCAGAAGCTTTTATCTCCAGGAAAGTGAGAAACTCACTCCCATTGCGTCCAGATGCAAACTTTTGGACTTTCTTTCTTCATTCATTCTTATGGTTTTTATGGATAGAGGTTTGTGAACTACTTTTATTGTTATACATTTAAGGCAAACCGGATTTATGAGACAAATATTAAAGGGGACATTCACTCTTACAGAGTTGCTCCACCCACTGAACCGCGAAGAAACCTGTTTGTTAGTTGTTACAACAAACCCTGAATTGAAAACCCCCCCACACGCTTCAGATCTACGCATCCTGAACCGGAAACAGCACAGACAGACAGCAGCGTCCCCCTCCGCCTCCCCCCTCTCTACCTGCATACTCTCTCTCATCATGCATGGGCCTGGCAGGAAGTATGCGCGCATGAGTCACTTCCGGGTCATCCACCACGTCGTACTCGGGCTCCGACACGTTTTTATAGTTGCTGCACCTTTTCTTCCCGTTTCTGCCGGTGGTCTTGCGATCCTGCCGGAGAGGAAGATTTCAGTTCCATGTAATTGGAAGCACTGAGTGTGCGAGAGACTGATATATTAGAGTAGTCAGATGCTTTACATGTGTGCAGCCCTGATAAGCACAGGAAGCTATAATGAGGTGTTACAACTGTACACACGAGGGATTTCCTTTTTTACAGCTTCACTCTTTACAGCACACATTTATAGCTGGTCTGTGACACCGTGTTAAATAATACAAATTGTCTGGTCTGTACTTTTGTGCAGCTGTGGCAAAGCTGGGAAAAAGGGGTGAGATCGGAATGAATATGGGACAAGAGGATGCATCAGTCATTGGCAAACAAACCGGCTCCTCTCGTTTATCTCCCTTTCGAAGCTCACATTCATTCATTTTGTTTTCATAAGTAATAATGAAACCCGAGATTGAATGAATGAATGTATATGATGTATTTTGTAAATAAAGCACACGTTCAGGCTCCTTTTATTGCAAGAGATGGTTGGACGAGATTGACTCAAGCTTCATATAGATTGATTTTAACTATAAAACATCTAAAATCACTGTTACTAATTGGGTGAAACATTTCTTGGGGGCGGGGGATAAATTTCACATTTACCAACTATGACATGTGATAAAAGTCCCATGGCCAGAAAAGGATCTGGTTGCTGCCACAACCAGACCAATCTTCACAGCTAAAGAATGAGGGAGCTGCACGTGTGATTATTCAGCCGTAGGGGTTAAAAAGCTCTCTGACCGGCTTTCTCTATCTTGGGGACCTGGCGAAATAGATTGTGCCGATTGTTGTTTAAGGAAGTTGAGAACATTCTGGCTCATAGTGAAATTGTCTACACGGGTGGCTACACGGATCTGATCAACCACAAGGGAAACCTGTCATCATCCGGCAAGCGGACGACTGTTACTGGTCAGGGAACATTCTTCTCTTAGTACAGCGTCACGAAATCTATGACTTCAAAAATGCATTTGTGAGACAGAGAGAGTGAAGAGTGGAAAGTGGGGAGAGGAAGCCGAAAGCCAGAAACATGATATCAAGGGAAACGTTCTACACTAACACGTTGTTTCTCCGCCCAGCACTTCTGAAACAAGCATCACGAGCCGACGACGCGTAGAAAGTACATCAAAGAAAGCATCAGAACATGATGGCAGATTCCTCCGAAAGATGAGACAGCTAACACAGTCTTTTACAGCGTTTCATTAGTGTGATCAATGCAATCTACAGTAAATATGCACGGAATTCATCCATAACCAAAGCGAAACATTCATGTGAGGCAGCGTGAGAACTTTAATTCAATTCTGAAGAATATTAATGTTGTTTTCTCTTTTATAGACGTATTCAAATGATTCAAATAAAACACCATTCATCTTTTGAGCTCTTATTATTTTCAGAGCTGATTATTGTATTAATCACTTTCCCAAATTGAAATTCTTTTACAATTTAACTTAAAAGGTAATGATAATGCAACACAAAAGTTATGAATGCTGACTCGCATCGCCGTTGTTTTTGCTGTGCTCTAACAATGACAGAGCAGAATCTCCCTCCTTCCCCATTCCTGTGCTAACAGGTAATCATACAGGGGGGGGCGCAGACCCTCGGAGCTTCCCTCGGGAACGTCCATGTGGAACCATCGGGCAAACGCTGCGATACAGGTCGGGCGCCATAACTCACCATTATCACAGCAGAGGCATGGCCGTTCCCTCTCTCTCTGCAGCTAACGAGGGACTGAAACAAAAATGGAAAACATCATTAGATGGGTGTTCTGCCAGAGTGTGTCTGTCCTTGGACTCCCCCCCCCCCCCCCCACCAATGCAAGAGACCTGGTCTTTTTATACAACTACACAGCGCTGCTAGTGGCCCCTCGCTATTTGATCATCTGAGGCACAGCGCGAACGTTCCCTGGATATAATCATTTGGAAGATGTTGATAGATTTACAGTTTTATTCGAACACGAGGAGAGAAGAGCTGATGCTGCGAGAAACAAAAAAAACTAATAAATAAATTAAAATGAAGCTTTTTCTTGTAGTGCTTTAGCCTTAAAAATAAGACTAAAGTATATTTTAATGTCATTATTGAAGGGCATCCTTAAAGATTGATTTTTTTTTTGTATTCATATTCCTCACTAAGTGTGACCTGACATGAAAGAAAGAAAGACATTTGGATTATTTTTGGATTGTGCAAACAAAGTGCTGACTTTTTGTGCTGCAGTGTTCTGAACACCATCCAAAGGAGTTACATTGTTTCCATCCCATGGGTGACTTGTAAATCTTTGTCACATATCCTTAATTTATGAGCTTTTTAGAACACACTATCTCACTTTTAAAATTCCAGAGAGCAAAAATAGGAAAAAAAAAACACGGGGGTCTGCAACAATCAATATCTTTGACTGACACGTTGTTATCCTTGAATCCTTTCGGCTGTGAAGGAAAGCAAAACAGGAAGCAGGAAGGAAACCAAAATAGAAGCGAGGGCAATTGAGCGAGGCTCAGGGATTGTGATAATACCAGGAGACACTACAGGTACCAGCTCCCAGGCAGGAAAATCAAGCTCAGTATTGGATTTGGTGGTGTGGTCCAACACTCAGCGGGGCACTATGTCTACTTTGCAGAGCTTACCGGGCCATGGGAAGTGGTGTTGGATGAGACGTTTGAAAAAAAGAGAAAAGGAGATTAGATACTCGCGGCCAGCGTCTGAGCTTGAGCGGTTAGTCCAGAGAATAAACCTGCGTCTCATGGAAATTGGGTGCAGAGGATTTGTGGCAACTCAAACCCGCCGGGCGACTTGAGGATTTGTGACCTCTGGCTTTTCTACGAGCATCGAGAAAGAGCTCAGTCTGAGGATGGAAACTATACCAACAGGGACCCAACTGGGACGTACCGTGGATTGTTTGTCATAAAATGTCCCCCTCTTCTGTCGATCGTTTTTGCTGTGAAGATGTTAAAGCTGTTATTAAAAGTGGATGAAAGGTAGTTTACGTATGTAATCAGGTGCAACCGTCACTATTAGTTTGCACCCTTTTTTGGAAATACTTTGAGATTAAATGTGTCCCCAAAACATAATACGCACACCGCAATATCTTATAAATTGTGATAAAAAAAAGTCCCTTCATAAATAACAGAAAGTCTTCCTCTTCTTGAATTCTCGCAGGAAATACCACATTTCGAAGCTTGTTCCGTCTTTATGGTGTTATTTTCATGCATTTTTACACGCTCACAAAAACAGCAGCTACCTACCTTCAGAGACGACTGGTACAACACGGACGCCTGCCGCAGTGGGTGTCCAGCATATGTCTGCCTTTTTGCTAAAATACATTTGATAACAGACTCTGCGCACAGACCAACAGAAACAGCCTGAGCGGCTTCAACTGTGACTGTCAGAGTTAAGCAGCCCACTGCAGAAACCTGAAAGGGCTTCCTGTGTGGTAATAAACTGGCCTATAACCTATAAGGTCTTCACTGTTAGGGGGGTATTCTTCTGCATCTGTGCTCGAATTTGCAGGTAATTTAGCGGAAGCATTGTTTGTTTTTGGAGTTTTATGTTTGTTAATGTTTCTTTTACATTTGATTTATGCATAACCACTTTGGGTTTACCTTTTATCTGTGCACTCTGAGATTGTTTTCAGGCAACATTCATCTGGTAACCAGGCGCCGACCGTTTGTTCAGAGCTTCAGGGTCAAATGAATCCTCCAGTGCTGCAGATATTTCTCTTAATTTTAGCGACAGCATGGTGACATTTCAACATTTGATCTGCCGGGTGCAAAAGGAAGCATCGTGACATTTACTCTTTCCATCAGATCATAATCTTGCTTCATTTATACAGCAAACGAGAAGGTGAACCCAAATTACAATATTTTATTAACGCCCTTTGAGGCGATATTTCACTTGAGAGTAGTATTTTCAGTTAATAGCAGACACTTGATGAGAGTGGCAGTGAGTGATACTTTAAAAACTTTAAAGAAGTTTCCATTTGCCACATGGATTTGTCTCAGCAGCCTGGTAAACACATTAACCAAGTTTCAGACAGTGAGGGTCATTTAACTCAGTTAATAGTGGTTGTATAACAGCTGACATGAGGCAGAGAAATCAGCTGAATCATGCTGAGAATATTTTAAAACCGGCCACAAAGCTGGATTTTATGGTCCGTGAATAAGACACACTGACAGCAGTTAGAGACATATTTAAGGGTGAGCAATACTCTGACTTATTTAAACTTGAGTGCCTTTTCCAGGAAATTACTTAGGAGACATTCTGCCTACAGTCCTCATTCTGTAACCAGCATGTTCTACACTCACCACAGTCACTCTCAGCTCAGATCAGAGACGACAGCTAGGGGAAATCTCGTCGCTTGTAGCGTTTCTTTTTTCATTTTCGCAGCTCCAACCATTGTCTACATATGTGGTGATAACCATTTGGTCAACTTTATAACGCTGAACTCTCACAACGTGGCTTCGCAGCAGAAAACAGGGCAACAATCATGTGTCAGTGAGTGATGCTGAAAACCCTCATCTTAAAATCCCAACTATGCTAAAAGTCAATGTTGTGAGAGAAAGTTTTGTCAGTAGACTGTGGTTTAAGATATTTTAAATACATTAAGCGTTTGATTAAACTCTCCCTGTCTGAAGCGGCTCGGAGCTGAGCACAGGCGCACAAGGTCAACTTGTGGTTTCTTCTGCAACGGTATAGCCTGACTTCCTGTGAAAGATTACCATCTAGCCTCTCGTGTTCTCACTGATGCTTATCTTTTGAGCCGCAAACGTCAACCCCCCCCGAACATCTCTACACCTCGGCCCACAGCGACAGCCCCGTCGGCCTGTCAATCCGGCAGCTCATCATGTGTCCTCGACCCCACGCTCGTCCTCTTCCCGGGAGCCCAAAGAGGGAACCGACCTCCCCTCTTCTGTCCTGGACCTGTCACTCCGAAATAAGATCTGTGGTCCCGGTCTGGGGGGCCGAGGGGGGTGGGGGTGGGGGGCAGGTTGAGGAACACAGAAGTTGAATATGGGTGAGGTGTGCGTGTCAGTGCAGTTAAAGCGGTGATGTCGTGAAGGAAGCATGCTGGTGACATGAAGGAAAAGATCAAGAGCAGCTGCAGAGGTAGTAAGAATGTGGAGCCTCTTCTGTTCACAGTGATGGTGAATGCAGATGAGAAAGACTCATCAAACGGAAATCATTTAAGACTGTTTTTTTTGCTTTTAGCCTTCATTTACTTAGTCTGCTTGATGGTAGACTGTACTGCACCGACCCTGCAGATGTCATTCATCTCCGGTATAGATGGTGTCATACCTCCAGATAGATAAGATCCCGGAGAGGGAGAGCAGTCTGGCCCATCTGGCTATCTCTGGTGAGCGTGTGATTCAGCAGCGTGAATAATTAAAGCAGGGAGCAGCGATAGAAATCTGTAGACGCCAGAGTCGAATAATACCGGACGGACATCAGGGGCCTTTGGTGCGGCCGAGACGACATTAGTCACCCTCCCCGTGGCCCCGGGCAGCCGTCGGGGTGCAGAGCTGAAGGTCAGCGGATGATGGATGGACGCAGACCGGCGTCGGCTCACCGCTAAAGTTGACTCGAAAACGAATGTCTCGTACATGAAATGTTATCTTCATGGAGAAAGGTGCCCGATCTGATACTGCGGCCGTGCGTGTCGGGCTGTAAAGAGCGGAGGTCTCTCCATGGTGCAATGTGCATCGGAGGATGTGTTGTCTTTGGGAACAGGTCTTCTGCATAACAAACCACAACGGCCTCCTTGTTGACCGTTTTTATTCAAATTTCCTTTTAAAACAAAACAATCATCTTTGTTCTCACAGCAAATGATGCTGCTCCAAATACAGGCCGCGGGTAGCCGTCAAGATACAAGCCTCTGCACGAGCTCAACCCCAAATGAGCGTTCTGCTCTTCCCCGAGCATTAGTGTGATGGCACCGCGGCTCTCTTCCTCCCTCTCGCTCGGTCCGTTCATTATAATGGCGGCGTGTGTGTCGACTGAGGCTCCACGGCGGCGAAGGAGCCCCGTATTCAGGTCAACTCGCAGCCAGAGCGATTCCTCGATTATTCCTTATTTATCCCGGTCATTCCACCCCCCTGGTGTGGCGTGAAGCCTCGGGAAGAAGTGTTTTAAAGTGCGGGGATCCGGGGCTAATGACGAGCTGAGGGCGGATCGTCAGCGGGCCAAGAGCTGCACGTCGCCCCACTCAGATCATCAGCAGGCCAACTTCTTATTCAAGCCGATACGGCGAGAGAGTGGAGCTAACGTTGGGTTGTCCGGGTTGTTAACGGTATTAGAATCATCCACTCGGAGTCCACTAGAGGATTTACACACCGAGAGGTTTGTCATCTACACACGCTCGCTAGTTCAACAGGATCCACCCGGTGGAATTCTGCTCCAAGATGATCAAATGTGTGTAGTTTTGTGTTTAAAATAACATTAATAATTAATAAGTGATTGCTCATTACTTGTAAGATTTAGAAACATTAATTAAGAACATCATTGTAACAACAACAACATTCATTAATCGCCATTAATTGAGATGAAATGAAAATGAATTTCAAAATGTGCGATTAATTAGTGAATTTTTCTCATTCAATCGTGCAACAAAAAACAACACCTCTTTTTTTAATATCGTTTTTTCCTTCACGACGTGTCAATTTCTACCATTAGATTTAATGGGATCACATTGCATTTTATTAAATTTAAAGATGCCACTTAGACACCTCTATGTGTTGTCTTATATCGGGAAATAAGATTTAACAAATTACACTTTATGGATATAGTTGGTTTACAAGAATGTTCATTTCAGGTGTAGTTATGTAGGATTTTGTTATTCAGATCTGTAATCAAATTCAATACACAGAATCGGCCACATGTTCACAGGAAAGACCTTAAAGTAATTTCCTCAAAGATGTTTTTTCACATGTGCTAGGCGTCAAAAGTCCAACTGTTCAAAATAGAAAACTTGTGCATTCATTTCCTGTTTATGTGAAGCATCGCTGACGTACAGCGCGTTGGTGCTCCATCTGTCTGTGGTGAGAAACACAGGTACCACCGGCAGGTGTTCGTAGACACAGTGGACCTCGCATTCAGCTGTTGTTTAGTAATAGTGCAAACAAGAAATTACACTTCTGTGCTCCTTCAGTTCAATGAAAACTAGATTTTGTATGTGCAGGACCCTCACGTTACTCTCAACCTGTCCTTTTCCTGGATTTGATTAAAAGTAGCACATTATATTATTCGGAGGGAATTCTTGTAGTTATTAACAATTATTATTAACTAAGTTAGAGAACATGATGCTGTACAGAGCTGCTTTTAACATGCTGGTACATTCTACAACCTCAAAACAAACACTCTTTTGGGGTATTTTGACTCACACTAAATCAGTTTTGATACTTCAAGGCCAACAACATCTCGGAAGTGGGCGGATAATGAGGGGAAGCGAGGACGGCCGCGAGGAGAAGCTGCTGAGCGAGCAAACGGCGGTCCTGAGGTCTAAAACCCAGAAGCAAACACTAAGCGTTGAGCACAGTGAGTTTGGTGGAGGCAACAATCTGGTTGGAAAGCCGCAGCAGGTGAGTTTGATGAGCTGATATATGAGCAATAAAATGTTCCATTATATTTGCTGAGGCATTGGCAAAAAAACGAAGGTAAAACAACGTAACATGCAGTCTGGTGCATGCCGTATGGACGGTAAAGGCCGCCTTGCCGCGTCAATATCTGACACCAAGGGGAGGGAAGAAGCGGCGGCATTTAACGCCCTTAGAACGAGAACGGGCTGCAGATTCGGTTACATGGAAGCCAAGAAGAGTTACAGCTTCAGAAAGCTTCCCAATCACAATTGCGTGGCCAAGGATCTTGTCTCCTCTGGCACACGGTGGGAACAAGGTGTTTCTCTGGCAATTCCAAATGAGCAACACTGGGACCAGGAATAATGGACGCGCAGCAGCACGGTCAGGTCTAATTAATGCAACCTCGCCACCGTTGAATCCTGGTCTTTACTTTCCGGCCACCTCCAGTCCGGTCACATGTGTAAAAGCGCTGGCATCGGTCTCACAGTTCAGCTCCTCGCTACGGGCTCCGGGCCTCCAGTAAATGTGGTTCTACATCGACCCCCCCCCCCCCCCCGAAACATCCATCTCCATTAAGTCCAAGCAGGTGAAGACGATTTCATACTCATTGCCTCCAGTGCCCGAAGTAGACAGCCACTCCATTCATATAGACCATGGATTTCAACGTGTTCTGGCCAAGGTCAAGTGGGTTAAAGGACCAGACTGGGTACAGAACGGTAGTTAAATGACTGTGCGATGGCTTTAATGACTTGATCTCAGTGTCAGAGGGAAAACCACAGTGAGATTCTTTGCAGACTGTGAAATCCACGGCAGCATTAGGGAATGATATTTAACACTGTGGTTTAACGCGGAGATGTG